CATCGTTTGTTTTGTTGTTGATAAAAACTTTGCTTGATGCAATGTTTATTCTTTAGATAAATTCAATGATGATGATCTTGATTTGATCAAATTTGAAAGACAAGTGATGATGATGATGAAAAAATGTGTGATTGATTCGGAATTGTTTGTTGTTTGTTTGTTTGTTTGTTGATGATAATGGTAAGGATCTGCTTCAAATCATCATCATCATTGTTGATATTATTGTCATCATCAATTTATCATTGAAAATTACAAATGGTCTGTGTGTGTGTTTGGTTTTTGTCTATTTTCTTTTTCTTCTTCTTCTTCGGGCTTATCCTAACAACAAACATAACCATCATCAACAACAACATTTCACTTAGCAGAATTCTTCTTTCCTATGACGATCAAACACAGAAAACATCAAGCATCAAATCCCCAGCATCATCGTTGTTGTTGGCAAATTGAAAATGGATGATTTGTTTTTTGCGGGAATTAAAAAATACAAAAACAAAATTTGTTTTTCTTGGTTCTGTGATTGTTGTTTTCGTTGTTAAAAAAGCTTAGCTGTTCTACAAAACAAGATGAAAACAACAAAACTGATTAATGATGATGATGATGATGAATATTAATCTGGTTCAAGTTGGTTTGTTATTTGTCTTTAAAAAACTATGTTTTTTTTTGTAAATTTTACTGATCGATCAATCAATCAATCGATCGATAATAGAATTCTCAAGAATAGAATCAGAAATAACCAAAAAACATAAAAGAAGAAAAAACTTATCATCAGAAAACATTACCGTTTTTTTTGTTTGTTTGTTTGTTTTGAATTGGAAACAAAAAAAAACAACAATCGATATTTGGATTCAAATCATAATCATCATCAATCATGATACTTTGAAGAATATCTTCAAATCAATTGTTTCGCATTTTTATTAGTAACGATAGGATTCTATCATCATTATTAAGCATCATTATTTTCCAATCATACATACAGAATCACTACATTCTATGCTGCATTATTGCCTCCCGAAATGTAATAATGATAACGAAAATCTAAAATTATAGACCTTTTTTTGTGATTGAATTGACAAAAAAAACGAAATGACATATGAACCCGAAAAAAAATCATTATTGGATCAAAGTGTTAACATTCAAAATAATTCAAGCCTTTCATTCCTAAAGTTCTTTTTATCATCATTTTACTTTTTTTTACTTTACTTTATCATTATCAATAATAATAATGATAGGATCTAACAGTAAGGACAGTTTACAATCGATGATTATTTAAACCAAAAAGAAACAAACGACAACGACTATAATAATGAAGAAAAATCATTTTCCTTGTGTTTCCATAATAGGAACAAAAATTGATAAATGATAATGATGTTGAATGACGGTGGCCAACACCAATCAAAAAACTAAATATGATTCTTTTTAAACTTTTTTTTTTTTAAAAAAACTCAGAGAAGTCTCTGTGATCCATCCATTCAAACCAATTTTTGTTGTTGTTTCATTTCATCAATTTGAAGACATGTATGTATTGTTCACCATCAATCAATACAAAAACATATCAACACAAAAAGAACTAAAAGAATAATCAAATATTACACACACACACACACACACTTATATAGTGTAGATACAATCATCAAAATAACAAGTTTTTTTTCAACACTATAAACTTTTTATATAATGATGATAATGATGCATTCTAACCCCACATTCAATTCAATATCAAAATTTGATAATCACATATATATGGATAGCTAGTTAATCATAATCCTTTTTTTCTTGACATTCTTCGACTTGGTTGAACTATATAATTATGATTATGATTATGACAACACTTTTCTGATCATCATTATTTTTGCCCGGTTAATATCCTGAATGATTGAATGAAAAAGAGAGGAAAGGATTAATGATCAGCGAACTTAACAAACGATTCAAATTGTGATTGATTGATGAAACAACAACAACAGCAACCGTTTTTGCTTTTTTGATTTCAACAAAAATTCATTCCAAAAAACAATGAACAATTAGTTAGTCAATCACATAGTGAATTGAATTGGATTTTTGTTTTCTATTTGATGTGATGGTCACACCTATTTGAATGATTTGAAAAATTTGAAATGAAAAATTGGTTAACCTGATTTTTTACTGTCATCATCATCATTTATGGTCCTATCCCTTATGTATTTTAGTTGTTTATTTCGCCTTTTGTTTCATCAAAATATCGAATATATAAATCAAACAGAACAGAACAGAAAAAATGACAATTTTTGTTAACCACCATCATTCGATTGAAAAATGAATGTGAATTTTTCATTTTCAACAAAAAAAAATTGAAGAATTTAGCAGCCTAAATGATTATGATTATGATGAAGGTAATTACAATGACGGTAGATAGTTTTTTGATGATTTCAAATTCATTAAATAATGATGATGATTCCGTTTTTTCTCTCTCTTTAGCATTTAGCAATTTGTTTTTTTCCTGCCAAACAAATTGTATTTTGTTTGTGTGTGTTTTCAATATTTATTTACATCGTACACACACACACACATTAACGATCAGGGATGAACCTCGAAATGATGGCCATCGATGATGATGATCATTAATTATAAAAATTGAAGTGCCCCGGTGTATACGAATCAAATCAAATGGTGTGACAAGTCTACATTTAATTTTCAAACAGAAAAAATCAAAAAACAAAAATATTCACACCATTTTGAAACACACCAAGAGAGAGAGAGAGAGAGGTCAAAGGACATTAAAAAGAACAGATGAATAATGGGAAAGATTTTTTTTCCAATTTTTGATTTTGAAATCAGTTTTTATTTCCACCAATGTCCAATATCCAATATTTATAAATTTGTTTTTTCTTTTCGTTTATTTATTATCAATGTTATTAGTTTTTAGTTTTTTTTTGATTGAAATTCACTTAATTATAAAGTGAGATGTCAACCAAAATCGTTCACACACACACACACACACACACACACCAACACATTTCATCTAAAATCAACCACGAATCATCATTTCAAATGATGGATGAATCTTTTATTGTTCAAAAGGTGGATCGATTTGGATAGAAAAAAAAATTCATTGGTGTTACATGTTTCTGTTTAAATAGATCAAAAATTTGATAATAACGATGATGATGATTATAATGATCTACCGCCGCGAAAATTTTCGAAGATCTACCACCTAATGATGATGAATCAAGCTTTATTCGATGGAATTTAATTCGGTCAATTCATGACTATAAAGAAATCTGTTATACTTACCGCTGTTTCTTTGTGTCATTGTTGTTGTTGTTGTTGTTGTTGTCACACAGTATGAAATTTTTAAAAATAAAATTTTTTAAAAATGATACACTGATCATCATCATCATCATCATTATCAACAAATTACCATTATCATTACACACATTTTTTTTAAAAAAAAATAGGTGTCATGTATTTTATCTAAAGATTTGTGTTTTGTTACCTTTCTTTGATTCACCATTCATTCATTCATAATACCGGCGGTAATTAATCAAAAGATTTTCTATTTGAAAAGAAAAAAAAATGTTAAGATTTTAGTTTTCTTCTTCAAAAATTTCCTTCCCTTTTTATTCTATTCTATTTTGTTTTTTGTTTTGTTTTGTTTATTTGGAAAAAAAATCAATTAATCACATGTAGTGTCCAGATAAATGAAAAGTATTTCAAGAAAAAATAAAAGGAAGTCAACCTAAATACAAACAAACAAACAAACAACGAGAAAAATATCCTATCCTTGTCATTATATTTATAAAAACAAAACAAAACCAATCCAAATCAATTCTTCATATCTGTGTTTTTTTTTCTTATTTCATGCTTGTTGTCATTTCAAGAAGAAGAAGAAATTCAAAATAATCAAAATTTGTCTTCCCACTTGAATTGGTTTAATTTTCTTATTTAAAAAGCAAAAATTCAATAGATAATGTTGTTGTTATTATTATTATTTGGTCGATAAAGAAGATTAATTTCCTTCAAAAGAAAGCAGAAAAATACCTGAAGATCCAAAAAGAAATGACTATTCAAAGAGAGATTAAAATATAATGTGAATGAATGAATGAAAAAAAGATAGAAACAAAATTAATGTTGTTGGCCATTGGTTTGTTTTTCTATCATCATCATCATCATCATTTAGTTTAAAAATGTAACATATAAATATTGATATGGCAAATATTTTTTCATTCGAAGGGAAAGAAGAAAAGCATCATTATTTAAACATTTAAGCAATCACACCTTGTGTGTGTGTGTGTGTGTGTGTGTGTGTGTGTGTGTGTGAAATTAACTAAATGATCTTGATTTGATCGAAGAAAAAAAAAATTAAACATTTTTTTTCCTACACACCAAACACTGTTGATCATTGGTGATTTATATATCTGCCTAAATGGGGAGAATGTGATAGTGAAAAAAAAAGATATATCCTAAGTATTACAAATGACATTTACTGAAATAGAAAAAAAAACAACTGAGATATTACATGTGGTTGTCTTTGTGGAATGTTATAAGTGGGAAAATCAAAAGACGACCATCAACAACAGTGAATGAAAATGGAAAATTGATCATTGAAACAATTTTTTTCCTCACCTGTACCTGTACCTGTACCTGTGTAGTCGGAATTTGTTTCTTTTTTGCTTTCCCTCAACAACAACAACATTCAATTGACCATAATGATTATGATTAGGATGATGATGATGATAATGATAATTATGATTGAGAAAAAAAAACATCATCATACAGGTCGGTATGTTTAATCAACAATTAATTATTTTACTTTTTTTTTGTAAAGAAGCGGCAGTGATGAAAAAAAACTAACTAAACATTCTTTAATAGAAAAAAAAATCAATCGATTTTTCAATTTTATTCAACATTGATTCGAAACAAAACAAAAAAACATCCAATAATAACCAATCACAGTCGTTACATAAAATATCTGGACACATAAGGAATATAAAGTCATTTTTTTTACATAAATCTAAATGCTTGTTTTAAATTATTATTATTATTAATTTTTCTTCTACTAGATAATAATCGTATGATTATTATCATTATTCATTAATGATGATGATGATTTCGATGTCATCATCATTGTTGTTGTTGATGGTGATAAATTTTTACTTGACATTTCCATTATAAACGAATCATTCGATATTATTTTCGATGGTCTTATTAAATCCGGTTGATTAATATTCATATCGATATTAGTTTTACAATTTGAACAAATATTCTGTTGTTTTGTTAATAATTGTGTTAAACGTATTGCTGCAGCAGTCTGTTCATCAGATTTCATTGATAATTTTTCTTTATCATTAATAAATGATTTTTCATCATTTAATGAATATAGAATAGCAGTAGGTGGAAATGTTGGTATCGGTACACGATGATTTATTCTCATATTATTTTCATTATTTAACATTCGATCATGTTTATTCTGTTTTTCATCTAAATGTTTATGATATCGTGATTGAAAATCTTCGGGAAACTAAACATTTGATAAAGAAGAAACAAAAAATTAAAATCAATTTTCAATAAACAAAATCAAAAAAAATATTACCGAACCAATATTGATCATTGTCGTTGGTGTTGATTGAATAATTCGTATGGCTAAATCATAATCATTACGATATTGTTCATTTTGTTGTTTCATCAATGATAGGCTAGCATTAGCTTCATCCAATCGTATGTTTAATTGATCAACATTTTGATTTAAACCGATACGTTCGGTTTCAAAACGATCAGCAACACGTAATAATTTATCCTCTAAACTTTGATTTACTTTCTGTAGACGACGATAATTCTCTAATAGTCGATCATATTTATCATGCCAATGATAAAGATTATCACGTAATGCTTGCATTTCACCTTTTGGAAATTGTTTTGCATGACTTATAATCTGTCCTTCCATTGATACAATCTGTTGTTCACGTTCTTTTAGTTTTTCTTTTAATGATTCAATTTCCTGATGTAAATGTATACTGTTGTTATTCATACAGCTATCACAATGGCAACCACATTCCTGACAAAACAAAAGAACAATTAATTAACAAAAAATTAAAGTTAAATTAAATAATTAGTAAACCGAAAAAATTTCCAGGAAAAGAAATCTTACCTGACATTGGTTGTCCAGATGATTTCTTGATGAATTTCTTGACATCATCATTTCTTTCTTTTTTTAGTTTTTTGGGTTCTTAACAATCCGTCTTTCGAATGTTTTTTTAAACAAAATAATTTGGATTTTAATTCTTTTCTTAATATTAAACAACAGCAACAAAAAAAAAAAATGACGTCGTTTTCTTTAGGATTTCACTTTCACTCAAATTGGATCACGAAACAAAACAATTTTCCTGTTGTTGCAATTTATTGAAAGGAGTGAAGAAAGAAAAAAATTTCTCTTTTTATTCAAATATCAAGCAATAAAATCAAAAAGAAAAATCTTACAGTTAACAACGATAAAGGCAACGAAGAATGTAGGTCGTCCAGTTAAAAGTGGTCGGTCCAGTTTCAAAATTATCAAAATGTGTAGTGGTGGTATGTTTATTGTTAATGTTGATCCACCATCATATGAATTTATTTTTATCTTTGATGGAAATGAAAGATGTTTTTTTTTGTTTTGCTTAGATGATGATAATTATCATCACCATCAACACATTAAGTGTGAGAGAGTGAATTTAAACAAAATACAAAAACAATTGAAAGTTTTTGTTATAGAGAAAAATGTGAATATCGATTAGATTAGACTTGTTGTTTTTTTAACAACAACAATGATTGATTGATTGATTGATTGATTGATTGATTGATTGATTGATTGATTCGATTCGAACAGAGTTACCAAAAGCAAAAATAATTTCATCAAATACAAAAAACCAAATTTATCACGAAAAAAAAATCCATCCAAAACTGTAAACAAAACAATAAAGTTTTTGTATCACTTTTGTTTACATTCGATTAGTTTTGTTTGGTCATCCGATAGATGGTGTTGGTTGAATGCAAAAAAAAAATAAATTCGAATCACCATCAAAATGTTTTTTTTTTTGGAAACTTGAGAAATGTTTTGTTAAATCCCGAAAACAAAAAATTCATTTATTTATAATGAAATTAAAAAATTAATAATCAATCAATGATTACAATTTTATTATATAAGATCCATTTGATTTTCACTAATTTTTGTCACTTCAGATGAAAAACAAAACATGGGCCAATTATAAATAGCCACAATTACAAGGAAAAAAATAAGTGAATTTTATCAACATCACCAACTTGATCAATGATGATGGATAGTGTGTATTTAGGGATGAATGGGTGCTATATGAATATTTACAAGAAATTCGACCAAAAAAAAAAACAGAAAAAAATAAAATGAACTAGAAATGAATCGAAATTGGTGAGTAAGAATAAAAAACAATTATTCAATGGCGAACATTATCACAAAAATACAAATTTTAAAGTTAAATCGATCGTAGTTGTTGAAAGAAAGGCCAAAAAAAAATCTTGTCATTGATATCAACATATTACCAACATTGTTAAAGCATATATATTTTCTTAAGGAAAAGGAAACAAAGTTTGAAAAATGCACATTTGCCAATTTTTTTGTTCTTAGACAATCTCATTTATTGTTGACGAAGATTTTTGTGGTCGAGATCCTTGTGGTTTTTGTGATCTATTTTCTCTATTTTCATTGATCGATAATTGATCAGGTGATAACGACCTTTGATCATCCATATCGGATGAATCACAATTAATTGATAATTGTGGTGGAGCTATCAACACGGATGATGATGATGATTGCTGTTGTTTTTGTTGATCAATGTTTGGTGAGGTTGTTGAATGCAAATCGGCAATAACGATCTGTACATTTGGAACAACATTTGGTGTATGTTCAGATGATGAAGATAATTGTTGTAATTGTGATTGAGGTTGTGGCAGATTTGTTTGGTTTCTTCGTCTATTCTGTCGGGATCTATTGAATCCTGATGATGAAGGAATTCGACTAATTTGTTGCTGTCCAGATTGTTGTGAAGATATTTCGGCCGAAATAATTGGTGCTGAAGTTGATGGACCAGGCCGTATAGTTGAATCATCCAATAGATCTGGTATATTTGTATAACGATTCCGTCTTGAACCCGGTGTTGTTATTATTGTTGATGTTCTTGATTGTCTTAAATTACGAAAAATAAATGGACGAAGAATTTCTTCTAGATTTACGGTATTGGAAGAAGCGCTGTTTGGAATACCAGCTGCTGATGCCATTGTTGTCGTTGGATTCGATGATCGATTACTTGATGATGATGATGGTAATAATTGTGTACGTTCATTCGGTTGCTGAAAACGATTACTACGTTGATTATCATTATCTGAATCTGAATCAGAATATTCTTCCATTCCAGGTAATTTAACTTTAGCTTTGCAAACTGGACAAACACGACGATTTTTTGTTAACCATGGATCAATACATTTCATGTGATATGCTTGTTGATAAAAAATATCATAAATGATTATTACCAAAGAAAATATTAATAAAACTTACCATGATTACATGGAAGAATACGAATTTTTTCACCTTCAACATAATCATCAAGACAAATGGCACAAGTTTCATAAAATATACCTATTCAAAAATTTAAAACATTATCAAAACATTATGAATCAAGACAAAATAAAAAAATCAAACCTTTTTCAAATTTTTGAAGTGTAACTTTTTTCAAATCTTTTCTAGATAAACGATGTCTTTGTGCTTTACGACGTTCCATAATACACATCATTAATTGAAATACAACATATGATACAATGATTAATATGCCGGCACCAATTATAATTGCAAACGGTATCAGATAATAGCTAAAATTTGGCGGAATTTCCGATGTGATAAACAATCTAAAACCACTATGATAAAGAAAATTCGAACGTAATGTTTGACCATCTTCATGTGAAACTAATAATCCTGGTATTGTAATATTAAAATCTAAACCAAATAAAAATCAAACAAATTTGATTGAATTTATCCTTTTCTTATTAATGAAATTGAATCTTACGTTCAGATGATGAATGAATGAATGATGTTTGATAAAAATCCATAGGACTATATAAAATGATTGCTTTGTATCCGGCATTGACTGCATTTTGAATCTTTAATTGAAAAAAAATTCATTTCACTTATAATTTTCAAAAAAAATGAAATCCTCCACCATACCTTTTCACGATTCGAACATTTTGCATGAAATGATGATGAACGATAAGCCAATACGAACCAATTTATTGTTTGATTCAATTGATCTGTAGAGCTTGGTGGTGTACTGATTGGTCCACATGCATCCAATGGTGATGCAAGTGTTAGTGCACCCTATTAAAAAAAAATTCAATTTTAAAATCTTAGATCAAAAAAATTTTTGTTTCTACATACATAAATACCATCTTCAGGTATTGGTGGTGTATATGATATCTTATAATCAATAAACAATTCAACACTTTTATTCTGTGAATCAAGCTATAAAAACAACAACAAAAAAATAATATTAAATTTACGGTTCATAAGAAAAATGTGGAAAATTTATGATAACTTACAACAGCAATATCGGCCAATATGAATGATTGAACTTGTGCCAACATGAATATAGTATTGATAAATTGTCGAGACATTTTTTCAACTCTTTTTTTTGATTAATATTTTAATTTCGAGCAAATAATTTTTTTTGTCACATAAGAAAACAAAACAAAACAAAATTCGTATGATTTGATGAGCTGGATTTTCAATCAATCCAGGGAAAAAAATTTGGCAACAACAACAACAACAAAAACAGAAAATTCTTTTTCCTCAATCAATTTATCTATGGCTGATGATGATTTTTGTTTATGTTTTTGTTTTGCACAGCGTTGTTGGTTTCTATATATTTTGTTATTGATTTTCATCAATTATAATTAATCAATAATGATGATGATGATAATAATAAACATAGATCATCATCATCATGACTTGTACATTATTGTTTGGTTGGATATTTTTTTTAATTAACAAATGAACACACTATATAAATTTATATAAACAATGGAAATATTGAATATATCAATGAAAAAGGTGTGTGCGTGTCGAAATTATGATTATCGTTTTTGATGTTAATAATGATGACGACAAAAAAAAATTTGATTAAAATCATTGATTGAATTCAAGTCATTTGTTAATTGTAATCATATACACAGACAATGATTACGCGATAGAAATGTATACGTTTTTGGGGTGAGAAAAAAAATGATTCAAATTTTTTTTTTATTATTCTACCATCTGATCCATCATCTGATGAATCAATCAAAGTGATGATGATGATGATGATTTTTATTTGGAGAAAAAAAATGAAATTTGATTGAATTAAAAACAAAAAATGTTCAAATCAAACAACTCGATTCAATTGTAAATGATCATTATTGATCAGAACGAATATCAACCACTAATATTAAAATCATAACACACACATACAATATTATTATTTTTGTTTCACATAATCTGATTTGTTTATACACATTATTATTTTTTTACAACTGGAAATAATAATAATGATAATCAAATATATATAGAAGAAGGATTTGAAGGCGAAACGCCAATAAAAAAAACAAACAAAAAAATTTTTTTTTTTTTTTGGGTTTAATAAAAACCACAAATGTATGTTTTGTTTATCATTTAGAAAAGAAAAACATTCGAAACTATATCCACTGTTGAAGGATTGAAAAAGGTTCAAATAGCGATATTTTTTTTCAGAAACATATTGTTGATATATGTTTTAAATGTTGATGAAAAATTAATTTCGATTTTTTTTGTTGATTGGCATTTTACTGTTCAAATGTCCATCAATCAAGGTGCAGTTGTATTGACCAAATGGGTTACTGGTGCTAGTTTTATTATTTTAGGTGTCGGTATAATGTTTATACCATCGGATGAGGAAAAAATCCGTAAAATGAAGGTTAGTTTTCATATGATTTTTGTTGTTGTTGTTATTAACCAGATTTTTTTTCCTGCTCATTTAAAAAACAAACAGGAAAGAATTGAAGCAATGGATAATGTTGATGAAAAGAAGAATAAATCAATCATTGATGAATGGTTTTCATTGAAACCTAAACCAGTATCGACAAAAAGTATGGAACAACAGGCAAAAGAATCGAATGAAAAAACATCGAATGTGAATATTTTCAAAGAATTATAAAATTTATTTCGTTCATGAATAAAAAATTTGAAAAAATGTGTTGTAAAATCATGGAAAAGATTTAAAAAAAAAAATTTATTTTTGATTAGTACTTTTCGTTAATTTGGTAATAATTTCATCGATAAAAATTTCACCATCACTATCGATATCAAATTCATTAAACATTTCATCAATAACATCTTTACTAAATCGTTCACCAAGATTTGCTAATGCTTCACGTAAATCTTTACTACTAATAAAACCATTACCATCTTGATCAAATAATTTAAATGCTTCATATAATTCTTCAGCAGTTTCTTGTTGTTTAATTTTTGTTGTTATAAATAGTAAAAATTCACGAAATTCAATTTCACCGCTTACATTTAAATCCATTTGTCCAATCATATCCTGTAATTCTAGATCACTGGTAGTCATTCCATATGATTTCATTATTTGTCCCAATTCTTTATAACCAAATGATTTTTTACCTTTAGAAAAAATATTAAATATTTCTTTATAAAGTAGATTTTTTTGTGTCTCCATTCAAATAATGATTTTTTGTTGTTGTTGTTAAGTTTCAAATCAAAAACATAAAAAATTTTCAATTTAGTAATTCTTATAATTTGTTTTATTTAATATGAAAAATACAGCAAGTCAAGTAGTTACGCGTGTTGAAATCATTCTAATCATATTATCGTTGATTATTTTTAAATGTTCGATTTCGAATCATGATTTTGTTGTTGTTGTTGCTCTGGCTGTTGATACATTTTAATCCAACGATGATGACGTGCTTCCATCAATGACATTCGTCGTACAGGTTCTTTAACTATCAGCTATTTTGATGAAAGAATGAAAAAAATGAAATGAAACCAAATTTGTCTTTTTTTTCAACTCAATACTAACCCTTTGAATAAAATTTTTTGCCTCATCACTAATATGATTTGGCATATCATATGAAAGTGTAACAATATGACGATATGTTTCAAATGAATTTTTTGTCTCAAATGGTGCTCGTCCAACAATAAATTCATATGCCAATACACCTAAACACCAAAGATCAACATAATGATTATATGGTCGTTGTAATATCATTTCAGGTGGTAAATAATCCAATGTACCGCACATTGTTTCACGACGTGATGATGGTGCATGTACTGACCAACCAAAATCGGCAATTTTTATTTCACCTTTTGAACCAAGCAATATATTTTCAGGTTTAAGATCACGATGTATTACATTACGTTGATGAAGACAATTTAATGCTTCGATTATTTGTGATATATACACTGATGCTTGCCGTTCAGGAAATCGTCCCATTTTTTTTAATAATGTATACAATTCACCTTTGGATGCATATTCCAATATTAAAAATATACGATGTTCATCATGAAAATAGCCAAATAAACGTAAAATATTTGGATGTTTTAAATGTGATTGTATTTCAATTTCACGTTGTAATTGATGTGTTACATTATTATGCAATAATTGTGATTTGAATAGAATTTTCATTGCAACAATATATTTACTACGTTTTTCACGTGCCGAATAAACATTACCAAATTTTCCTTTACCTAATAGACGACCAATTTCAAAATCATTCAATGTCCATTGTTTCATTTCATTATTATTATTATTAGTATTAGTATCATTCGACTGTTGCCGATGTTCATTTTTGTCAACAATCAATTTATTATCATTCGATTTGTTTGGTGAATTTTGTTGCTGTTGCTCGACATTGTTAATATCGGTCAATATATTGGCCATTTTTCTTTGTGTTTTTTTTCTTTTGCTGGAGAAAAGAAATCGGTTAGATAATTATTAATTGGAAAAAAAATGTTTTTTGTTAAAAATTGTTACCCTTATAATGTTGATGTGAGAAGGTTTGGCATATACAGAGCGACACACAACGAAATTAAAAAAAATTCAAACGGTCAAAATTTTTAAAATAAACATGAGTTATTCTGTACACATAATACGTTACTGAATTTTTATTCTTTTTTAAAGAATCTTGTTGAAATGAAACTCAGCTGAAATTTGATTCTTAATTTTTTTTAATTAAATAATTTAGAAAAATTTAAATTTACTTAATAATAGAAATAGAAATAATAAAGTATTTTTTTCCTACTTATTTTTAAATAAAAATGGCCTCAAAAACATTACCGGAACCATTATCAGCAAAATATAAAGAGTAAATATAGCCAATATAATTGAAGTTAATTTGATAATTTCAATTTCATTTCTTTTTATTCAGTTCATTTGCATATAAAACACTTAGTTATCGTTTACCAGTGATCATAACAAAAGTAATTGATCTATTATGTCGACAACGAAAAGAAATTACTTCGATTGATTTACAATTACCATCGGATCAACAAACTGAAGCGGAAGAAGAGACTAAACAATTGATTGAAGAATTGGCTAAACTTAAGTATGAACTTCAAACAAACAAACCAATAAAGCCAATTATATCGACATTACCAGATGCAAAAGCATGGAATGATTTATTGGCTGATGAATATCGCAAAAATAATGATGTTACTTATTATAATGTTATTTGGCTTTTAAGTGAATGTTATTTCTATCGAATGATGCGTGAAATTTTTATTCGTTCAAAATATTTTCAAAATTTTGATCATTTTTTCACCGCTAAAAAAGAATCATTTAAACTTTGTATAAAACCGGCCGAAAAATTGGCCACACATTTATTATCACTAAGCAACGACGAACAATCATTCGATCAAGAATCTACATTTAAATTTTATACAATGCATTCATTATGGGGTAATAAATTAGATCTATCAATATCATGTGGTGAACGTAATCAAACCGGTGATTTTGATTTAAATGAATTGGAATCGAAAATTCTTGTGAATGATTTAAAAAATTTTTGGTATTATTTGAAACAATTGTCTACTAATATTAATGATAAACAATCATATCGAATAGATATCATATTGGATAATGCTGGCTATGAATTATTTACTGATTTTTGTTGGTTAGAAGCTATGCATACTATTGGATTATTGCCAAAAGATAAAATAATTGTACATATTCATGTAAAATGTATGCCATGGTTTGTATCGGATACAATGACTAATGATATAAAATGGTTATTAAAATATATTAATGATACACCGGAAATTAGTTCGAATCTTAAAAATCTAAACAATCGTTTCAATGAAAATTTTCGTCATCGTCGATGGATAGTTGAAGAACATGATTTTTGGACATTACCACATGATTATGCACAGATGTCACGTATAGCACCGGAATTATATCAAAATTTATGTAATGAATCCTGTCTGGTATTGTTTAAAGGTGATCTTAATTATCGAAAATTAATTGGCGATCTTAAATGGGATATTGGAACATCATTCAAACAAGCACTTCGAGAATTTCAACCTAAAGCTATTTGTGCATTGCGTACAATTAAAGCTGATGTTGTTGTCGATATCAATGATCCAATTACAATCGAACGTATTAAACAATTTCCTAAGGATTGGATGGAAATTGGTGAATATGCTGTTATACATTTTCTTAAAAATTAAATAAACTGTGATCCGTGTAGTTCTCTATAGTTATTTTCATTTTTTATTATTGATTTGATTGTTTTAATTTTATCATTTGATTGATAACATCATCATAAATTGCGCGACAATTTACTTGTACTTTTAATTTACAACAAAGTAAAAATAATCCGGAAAGTTTTCGATGTAGTGAATAGATTTCTTCCGGTGGTGGTTTTAATCGATGTTTCAACAATATTGGTAATTGATTATTAATTCGTTTGATTACCGATTGACGACTAAAATCAAAACGATCTGAAATTCGTAATGCTTCACCAATGATTAGCACAGAATCTGCATGTGCATTTTTAAACATTTCTGTTTCGTAACCGGTTAGAAATCCAATTTCCAATGATTTATCCAATATTGTTTGACGATCATTTTCAATTGCAGCTTCGATTATTTCATGATATTTCATCACAAATTGTTCGGAAAATGGACGACAATTACCAAAATCAATCAATGATAATGTATCGGTTTTATAATCGTAGAAAAAATTCGACCAATTTGGATCGGTTTGCATATAATTAAAAACAAATAATTCACGAAAAAATAAACGTAAAATACGTTCCATAACGGAATTTTTAACATTCGGATCTGATGTTTCAGCATAATCATCCAATTTATCGATCGGTATACCGGAAATTAATTCCGTTGTTAAAATTTTTTTTGTTGATAATGATTCATATACACGTGGTACACGAAGATTTTCTTCTTGATAACTATGTTCACGAATTAGATTACCATAACGTATCTGACATTGTGCTTCACGACAATAATCAACTTCCCATGCAAGTTCAACTTTTGCATAATTCATTATATGATCAATGAATAAACCTTCCGGAAAAATGTTTGCATATTTAATAATTGTCAATACATTTTTAATATCACTTTCAATACTATCGGCAACACCTGGATATTGAACTTTAACAGCAACTAATGATCCATCATCAAGTTGTGCATGATGTACTTGACCAATACTTGCAGCAGCAAATGGTTTCATATCAAATTTTGAAAATAATGATCGCCAATTTGATCCAAGTTCTTGACTTAACATTGCAACCAATTGTGATTCGGGCATATAATCAGCTGATTGTCGTACACGTTCAAATATAGCTTGTAATTCTGGTCCAAGTAATTCATTATCTTGTATACTAAGCATTTGACCTAATTTTAATGCTGCACCACGAACTTGACATAATGTATCGACAATTTTTTGTGCATTATTTTTTGTCAAAAATAGATTCGTAGAGAAAACAGAATTCTCAACCTTATCATTATCGACAGCTCCTACAACTCTTTTGGCTAATTCTTCGGCTGCACCGAATCCCATCGAAACTGCAAGGCCACCAAATGATAATACACGTGCAAAACGATTTGCCGGTACTTTACGTTCACGTGCTTTTTCCGATAATTTCAATAAGGCAACTTCGTCTAAACTTCTTTTCGGTGTTGAATAATTCGTACGAAATTTGCTACCATCAGACTGTTTTGATGATTGTTCCCGGGGATTTTGTTTATTTATCACTGGTTTTGTCGTCGATGGCCTTGGTGAATCAGCAACAACGGGTTTAGTTATATGTTTTTCCTCTTCTAACAATATTGATGGTCGTGGTGGTATAAGATTAGGTAATTCAATAATCGGTGGCTTAACCATCGGTTTAACTTTAACAGAATGTTTAGCCACATAATTAGCATATTGTCGTAATCCTTCGGCCACAATCGTTACATCATCAATTACCGATTTTGGATCAATCTAATTCAAAAAATTTTCGAGAATTAGAGTGAAAACAATCCAATCATAATGAAAAATAATATTTTACTTTCAATTGTCGAAGATCCAATTCCGATGATGGTTGAAATTTTTTCAATTTTGAAACATCAATTTTTGATTGTTCAACTAATGATTGTCTAATACGATTTAAAAGATGTGGATTACCACGAAAACCAGTTGCAACACTAATTGCATCATCTAATGTTGTAAGAAAATGTAAAAGAATACGATAATTACTTGACATGATTTTTTGTTTGTTTGTTTGTGGAAAAAAAACAATATTGAATCAATGTCACACACAAACACACATGCATGCAGAATGAGTGAATCAGCTGATTGATATTATTCTGAATCGATTTGTTTTTTTTCTTGGTTGATGATTAATATTCCTGTAAACAAATCATGGCCGATGATATTCTTTTAGATTTTCTTCATATGGAATTTGTTTCATTATTTGATGAAATGAATGGTGAAGAAAAGGTTTGTTTCTTCTTTGTTTTCGTTTTGTTTATTGTTTTTTATCGTTTTTTTTCTCCTGAAAAACTAGCCAAATGATGTAAGCCGACAAGAATCGATTGGCTATCAGGTTGGATTTCGATTCATTGAAAAGTTTGTTTGTTTTTTTCAGATTTGTGATTCTGATTGAATAATAATCTGAATGATAATCTAATTTTATTCTCGTTTCCCCCCCCCGAATATCAGATATACACGTGAATGGAATCGTTTTAAAGATGAATTAGAAATAATAAAATTTATTTGTAAAGAATTTTGGTCAGTAATATTTGGTAAACAAGCCGATACATTACGTACAAATCATCAAGGTATTTACGTATTGATTGATAATCAATTTCGTTTTCTAATACGAATGACTGATTCACAACAATATATGGATCAAATTGGCAAGGTATTTTTCCAAATTCAAAATTGTTTTTGTTTTATAATTAAATCTTTGTTTTCGTTTTCTAGTATTTAGCATTCAGTTGTGGCTTAATACGTGGTGCATTATTCAATCTAGGTATATCATCGGTTGTAACTGCTGATGTTTCACAGCCACCAAGTGTAAAATTTCAGATAAAAATTCATACATAATTTATCTATTAACCGAAAAAAATCAATTCTAAAATTTGTATCATCCACTCCATATATATCTTATTATTGTTGTCATTTCAAATCATTCCATAAAATTATAATAAAATGCAAATGAGAGAAGAAAAGAAAACAACGATAAAACTAAATCGAGATTTCTTTGATTGATATTTTAGCTTTTTGTTTGTTTGTTTGACGTAAACGACAACAACAGGAAGAAAATATCATTTTTTATTGACAAAATGATGAAAGCAAATAGAAAAAAAATCCGATGATAAGTGCGTATATGGTGTTTGTTTGTTTTGTTTTGTTTTGTTTTCATTTCGATACGACGAATCCATTGAGAAAATAATATTTCTTTTATCAATCAATAATTAAGATTAATCTTTGAATTGTAATAACAAAAAACTTTCCAATGAAAAAAAATATCAAAATTCCGTCGATTTTCTTCCTAAAACAACAGCAAAAAAAAACCCAAAAAAAAATATTGCATTCTACCCTTTTTCCCCTCCAAATGATAATAAATTTTTGGATTTTAATTTTTTTTTTTTTTTTGGTCATTCATATAGACCAGTAAATGGATTGTTCCAGAAAAAAAAACAATAACAAATCCTTTATAAACGTGAATGATGGGTAGAGAAAATTTTTTTTATCAAAACAAAATAAAATATGCTAATCAGGAAAAAAAATGAATGATGATGATGATTTTTTTACTAAAAAAAAAAAAAAATACTCGAGCTCTTACAAAAGAGAAGATAAATAACGACATAGAAACCAACAAAAAAAAGTATTTGTCATCATAGCGTTTAAAAAAATTGTCGTCAACATTTTTCCATCATCATCATCATCATCGTAAAATCGATTTTAGTGAGCAATTTTTACTTCAAACAACAACAACAACTCAAAATTAAACTATTCCTTTATACAAACAAACAAAAATGTAATGTTTATTAATAATTCCGATTTGAAATTCGCATACAAATCATCGAACAAAAAAAAATCGAACGTTTTGATTAATTCATTGATGATTACCCTCATCATCGGCAACAACAACAGCGACTGTTATCCATCGATATTTTGATAATCAATGAAACAAAACAACAACAACAAAAAGGTACACATCAAACCAAATTTAATCAATCAATCAGTGCAATAACAATATTTCCGATTATCAACATTGTTTGAAAGCATTCTATTTTGTTTTGTTTTTGCGTGATTCATTTTCAAAATTGTTTTGTTTTTTGTGTGTTTGGGGAAATTCTTGAAACATTGTTTGGGTGAAGAAAGAAAGAAAGAAAGGAAAAAAGCTGAATTCATTCATTTTTTTCACCCAATTTTACCGTCAACGCCCTTGAATATATTACATTTACCATTCACATTCTTTTAAATTTAATGGATTTACATACATATATCATATCTCTTTTTACATCATACTGTGTCTCTGTGTTTTGCTTAATGAATGAATTTTTTTACTTTTCTAACTGTCAACATTTGGTGCAAATAGAGTGTAAATTCTACGTCAATGTTATTTTTTTCTTTTTTCCTGCAATCATTTTCGTCTTATATTCCATTAAAAAAAAAGAATATTTTATATTCATATAATCGAATTCATAATTGATTCGATTCTTGATTGTGTGTATGGTGTGCATTTTTTGTTTGTTTTTCAAGGTCAATCGACGCCTAATTTCTACTTCAATTTGAACGAATTTTTCATTCGTTGGTTGTCACTGTTGTTGTTGTTGTTGTTTGAATTTCAGGTTAATTCAATTATGAAGTGAAAAGAAGAAAAAATTATATTATTGATGTTAATTTAATAATAATAACAACAACAGCAACCATGGATTATCTAAATGATCTTTATCATAAAGTATTTGATGATTTTTTCATACAATTCGATGCTGAATATGATCTTAATTATACATGTAATGTATTTTTATCAAAAAATATGACATTAATTGAAATTGATCGTGGTTGGGAAGGAATACCCGAATCATTGGTCATACAATTGATACTTTGTCTGGTATGTATTTTGAACAGAGTTTTTAATTAATAATTTTAAATTAATTTTTTTGTATTAGTTTTTAATATTACCATTTGTTATATTTCGTTATCTGGCACGTTATCATTCATATGAAGTGAAAAATAATAATCGAACCAAGTATGAATAAATATTTTATTTATAAAAAAAACACTTCAATTAATTAGCAATAAAAATAATTCCTTTTTGTTTTGTTTTGTTTTTTTTCTAGTTGGATACAATTTATTTATGGAAATCGTGATTTTAAAAAGAAAAAAATTGTACATGCAAATGAAAATTTTCAATCAATTCAATCTTATTTTAATGAACAGAATATTTTACCAGCAATATTACCATATCATTTAAGTATGTGTAAAAATCAAAAGAAAATAAATCAACGTAATCTACAATCACATCAACAACATAGACGTACACATTCAACAACATATGGATCATCATCATCAACAATTGTAAATAATATTACATCACAACCATCATCATCATCAATATCAGCATTGACAACAATTTTAGCACAGAATAATCAACAAGATAATAATTCATCACCATCATCGTCATCATCATCATCATCATCATCAACAACATCAACTGTAACAACAAATACAATAATCAATGCAACAAAACATCAAAAAACAAATAGTAATGGTGATAATAATATATTTGCATCGAATACAGCAGCCGATTTAAGTGGTTCAAAATCAAATCTAGTACCAACGGAATCAACATTTCCAATTGAACAAAATTCAAATGTACAAACAGTTTTCATTAATCTAAGTAATAATCCAATCAATTATATTCAACGTTTATTTTCACATTTATTAAACATAACGGATGAAGATATACTTAAAAATAAAGGACATGATGCCTATCAATATCTATTATTTCAACGTTATATTATTATATTTTTATTTATATTATCATTTGTTACTATTGTCATCATACTTCCTATCAATGTACAAGGAAATAATGGTAATTAACACAAAAAAAAAGATACTATATGATTTATCAATAACTATAATTTTTGTTTTTTTTTTAATTGAAACAAAGAGGGAAAAGCATTTGCTCGTACATCGATTAGTAATGTACCACATGATTCGAATCTATATTGGGCACATGCCATTTGTTCAACATTTATCATTATTGTGGTAAGTGATTTTTATTGATTTGCAATTTCATTGTTTGTTTTTCAATAATTTTTTTTCTCTGTACAAAAAGGGTGTATTTCTTATGAATCGTTTTTCAAGTGAATTAAAAACCGATGATGATCTTATGTTTTGTAAAACATTACTTATACGTCGTATTCCTATACTTGATAATCTTGTTGAAAAATTAAAAATTTATTTTGATGAAAAATTTCCCGATGTTAAAATCAGTGGTATACAATTGATTGCTGATGTAAGAGAATTAGATTCACTTGAACAATCATATCAGAATGCTGTAAATGCATTAAAATATTGTGAAGAGATTAATAATGAACTTCGATTACAGCAGCAGCAACAACAACCAGAAGAAAATTCAAATATTCAACAACAGCAACAAGGTGTTGTTATCATTTTAGAAAATAATGTTAATGATAAACGTTTTATGATTCGTCCTATTAATTGTAATCGACTTTTTGGCTGTTGTATTTGCTGTTGTCATCGAAATAATGTTGATGCAGCTGAATTTTATCGAAATGAAAAACAAGAACTCGAAATTGAAATCTATGATGAATTGCGAAATATTCCAAAACAATCCGTTCGTTCGGCATTTATTACATTTCAAACAGAATTAATGGCCATGAAGTTAGTTATAATTAATTATATATGAACTATTTTTACTATTTATTATTCATTTATCATTATGAATATAGGGTATATAAATATATAAAAAATAAACAAAAACATTCCTGTGCCAATTGTCTGTTATTTGGCCTTTGTCTAAATTTTCGTAATGAATTTGATTTGGCTAAATGTTTGGTTAGTCATGCTCCATTTCCCGATGATGTTAATTGGCGTGATATTGCATTCGATATGAATTTATTATGGTTAAGAAAAATGGCCATTTCAATCATTCTATTTATAATATTCTTTTTTCTATCTACACCGGCTTTTTTATTGAAAATATTTGATCTAATTGCAACGAAAGAATTAATCAAACAAGGCATACTTAAACCGGTAATATAATGAATTATCTTGTTTTTTTTAATTTTGTTATTAATATTTTTTTCTCATTCCGATTATAGAATTCAATAATTGCTGATTTCATGAGTCCATTTCTATTAATGTTATTGGCCGTCATTCTACCATCGATTGTAACATTTGCTTGTCAAATGATTCCTTATAAAACAATTTCCAATTTGAATCATGCTGTCATGTCAAAAGTATATGCTTTTTTAGTCATGATGATTATTGTATTGCCATCGACCGGATTTCTTAGGTAATTTTTCTTTTTCTTTTTAATGGTAATAATTTTATGATTAATCAATGTATAATTATAGTATAAATGCAATGTTGGGTGCTGTACTTGCATCAAATACTGATCAACATAAATTTCGTTGGCATTGTTTATTTCCGGTTGATAATGGTGCATTTTTTGTCATTTATGCATTACAAGCAGCAATACTTGGCAATGTTGCAGAAATTTTACGTATACCTGAATTGGTATTATATCTGGTTTATTCATTATTTTTACGTTCACCTGCCGAATATCAAAAAGCACGAAAATGGGTTACATTTGATTTTCCATTTGGTGTTAGTTATCCAAGATTTTTACTTATATTTACAATGACAGTCATCTATAGTTTTGCCTGTCCACTTATAGCTCCTTGTGGTATGTGTTAATGTAATGTTATTTTAATTGTATTAATTTTTTTGATAATGATTAGGCCTATTGTATATGATTGGAAAACATATCGTTGATCGTTATAATATCTATCATGTTTATCAACCAACAAAAATTAATCGCCGTATACATTCAAGTGCCATAATGTATGTACATATCGGTCTCATCTTAATGCAATTTCAATTATTCACCGTAATGATTATTAAAACACAATACTCACGTATAACATTATTCATATTGATTGTATTGATCATAACATTGTTGGCATTTACATTTTTTGGTTTTCAACATTGGTTTCGTAATCTAATTACCTCACGTGTAAGCATTGTTTATTGAAATGAAAATATTTTATTTTTAAAATTTGTTTTTTGTTTTGTTTTGATATATAGATTAATAATCGTAATTATAAACAGAAACGAGATTTTTGTGTTTGTTCCTATACACCACCAGTATTATATCATTTATTGGATGATGGATTATTTCAACAATCATCTACATCACAATCACAAACACAACAATAATGATGATAATACGAATGTGAACTAGTCCATTTTTTTCCTACTTGTTGTGTGATATTCGTTTGAATCGATACAGAGATTCAAAATTTGAAAAATTTAACTGTGAAAATTTAGGACTCAAACAAGGAAACAAAAAAAAAATCCAATTAAACTGAACTGAAATAGAAATTCTCATAATGCATAATTATTTTAACAGTTGTGATCATTATTAATTGTGTTGTGGTGTTTTTTTTCAGATATTAATATTTTGTTATTTTTATCCATAATTTTTTCTATCCATTTCCAATGTACCAACTTTCTTTTCCTTTCTTTCTTTCTTAGATCAAGTTTTGTTACTAAATAGGATATTTTATTGATTTTAAACATTTTTCATATTGCTTGATGGATTTTAATTATAATAAATGGATTAATAAAATTAATAAATTTTGATTGTTTTTATAATTAAAAAAAAAGAATTCTACATAAATTTAATAAATTATACTGTCATTACTTGCTAATAAAAGAGCATTCGTTTTGCACAACTTCAAAAAAAAACTTGTTGATTTGATTGAAATATCAGGCCGTTTGAATGATAAGAACAAAATATAATAAAGTAATAGCTAAAAAATGGACCATAAATTTTTGATCAATTCGATATAATTTAAATAATACAAAATGATAATCTTCACTATATATTTCGGCCATTTCAATAAGACGTATTTCATCACGTAATCCATAATAAATATTATGATACCAGTATTTATCAATTTCAGCTATCAATCGTTTATCATCATCAATTGATTGTATAAATTGTTTGAATTTTTTCACATTCGATAATGAAAAATGTCGTTGTCTTATTGATTTACATTGATAGTATTGTCGAATTTGGTTAAATAATTTTGATAGAATTCTTTTTGCATCATAATCCAAATAAATCCAATAGGCTGAAAAACAAAAATAAATGATTAACATTATGAATTGAAGATTGGAAAATCTATCCATATAGATATAAAGATATGAACATATAAGAAAAAAGCTATCATTCAAAATGTTTAATAAAATTAAATGAGACATTGATGAATGAAAATTGTTGCAATGTTTAGCCAAAGTACGAATTATTCGAAAACATTCAAAGTCATTAATTTTTTTTGCCATAAAATTCTGCAATGTTTGCTGTAATACTTGTCTGATAGCAAATTTAAAATAAATACATAATACAATATTTAATATTCGATTGAATAAAATCATCATCATTGAAAAAAATTTAATAATGGTTTCGAATGAATATTTTGTCTGAAATGACCAAAAATCATAAGTTAGATAATTCAATAATATAAAAACATTGATCATAATCAATATGATTATTAAAATTATTTGGTTTTTTATTGATGAACCATCATATATTTTATTGAATAATTTTGAATCACATGAACGTATTAATAAATGACCATTTATATAATAGAATATATATGAACAGATAAATGCTAATTGAAAAAAATTTTCAAAAGCCAAATCCATCATTGTACCGAAATGATTTCGTGTTAATTCTTTTGCATGCATTCCTTTTGCCTTTTTATGATCGGTGAATAAAGTACAAACATAAAGATGAATCATTATCATCGATACACATTTGATTAGATGTGGCCAATTTTTCCATTTCAATTCACTGAATGTAAAACCTATCAAACTATTTCAATAATAATGAAAGAAGTTTTTCTTTAAAAAAAATTTCTTACCTGGAATAAGTGATGAATATTCGAAGCGGAAAATTTTCAATCTTCATTGTTAATGCTGATTCAAGAATGATCAAAAAAAAGAGTGAATTTATTATGTATCAAACAAAAATACAATTCCATATCGATCATTATAATTATTGATTGTTTTTAATAATTTCATTAATAATGTTTCAATGTTATTACTTTTATATAATTATAATAATAAATGTTGTACTAAAATATTCATTTCATTATATAAACCTAAAATAATTATGCAATGATTAATTCGTTCAAATTAAAAGGTATAAATTGTTAATGTTTTTCATCAAAATTGTTGAATATAAATATCAGTCTGTTTAAATAATTAAAACAAAATATAATGAAGTAAAAGCTAACAAATCGAAAATAAATTTCTGATCTAATCGATATAAATTGAATAATTCAAAATGATAATCTTCACTATATATTTCGGCCATTTCTATTAAACGTATTTCGTCACATGATTCATTATAAATATTACGATACCAGTATTTAATTTCAGACACCAATCGATTATCATCATCGATTGATTGTAACAAATGTTTGATCTTTTTTACATTCGATAATGAAAAATGTTGTTGTCTTATTGATTTACATTGATAATGTTGTCGAATTTGGTTAAATAATTTTGATAGAATTCTCTTTGCATCATAATCCAAATAGATCCAAAAGGCTAAAAAACTAAAATAAATGATTAACGTTATGAATTGAAAAATGGAAAATCTATCCGTATAAATATAAAGATATGAACATATAAGATAAAAGCTATCATTCAAAATGTTTAATAAAATGGAATATGAAATAGATGAATGAAAATTGTTGCATTGTTTGGCCAATGTACGAATTATTCGTAAACATTGATTGTCATCAATTTTTTTCGCTATAAAATTCTGTAATGTTTGCTGCAATACTTGTCGGATAGCAAATTTAAAATAAATACATAATAAATTATTGAATATTTGACTGTATGAAATCATCATTATTGAATAGAATTTAATAATCAATTCGAATGGATATTCTGTTTGTAATGACCAGAAACCATAGCTCACGTAATTTAATAATAATAGAATATTAATCAAAATCAATATGGCTATTGAGATTATTCGGTTTTTTCTCGATGTATCATCATATATTGTATTGAATAATTTTGAATCACATGAACGTATTAATGAATAACCACATCCATAATAGAATATATATGAACAGATAAATTCCAATGTAAAGAAATTTTCAGCAACCAAATCAATCAACGTTCCAAAATAATTTGGACTAATTTTTTTTGCATCCATTTTTTCGAAATTTTTCTGATAATCCCTAAATAAAATGTAAGCATAAAGATGAACTATTATCATCGATATACATTTGATTAAATGTGGCCAATTTTTCCATTTCAATTCACTGAATGTAAAACCTATGTAGCTATTTCGATTAATAATGAAAGAAGTTTCTTTCGAAAATACTTTACTAATTCTTACCTGGTATAAGTGATGAATATTCGAAGTGGAAAGTTTTCAATCTTCATTGTTAATGCTGATTCATGAATGTTTTATTGAAAAATAAAATGAATTTATTTTGACAAACAAAAATACAATTTCATATCGATCATCATCATCGATTTGTTTGATAATGATTTTGAAAATATTTATCAAATTTTTTTTTATTCCAATATCAAGGCCAACATGTTATTGAATCCAATAAATATTGAAAACAAGTTATCCATCAACTATCGAGAAGGAAAAGTTATTTTCAGCAATCTGACGTTTTATCATTTTATTTTATTTTTCACGTATCAATTTCATAGTATCAATTCATGAACCAAATGTATTTAAATAAAATAAAAAAATGTACATTTTAAACGAATGAATTTGATTTATCAGGCTGTTTGAATGATTAGAACAAAATACAATATGGTAAAAGCTAAAAAATCGATCAAAAAATTCTGATCTAAACGATATAAATTGAATAATTCAAAATGATAATCTTCACTATATAATTCGTCCATTTCTATAAGAAGTAGTTCCTTACGTGATCCATAATTATTATTAAGATACAAGTATTTATCAATTTCAGCTATCAATCGATCATCATCATTATCGATTGATTGTATCAATTGTTTGATATTTTTCACTTTCAATGATGATGACGATTGTTGTTGTTGTTGTTGTTGTCTCATTGATTTACATTGATATTGATGTTGAATTTGATGAAATAAATTTGATAAAATTTTCTTTGCATCATAATCCAAATATATCCAATATACAAAAAGACCAAAATGAATGATTAAAATTATAAATTGAATGATGGAAAATTTATCCAAATAAACATAAATAAATGAACAAAGAAGATAAAAACAATCTTTCAAAATGTTCATTATAATAAAAAATGCCATTGATGAATGAAAATTGTTACATTGTTTGGCCAATGTACGAATTATTCGTAAACATTGATTGTCATTAATTTTTTTCCCAATAAAATTCTGTAATGTTTGCTGTAATAATTGTCGGATTGCAAATTTAAAATAAATACATAATACATTATTGAATATTTGACTATATAAAATCATTGTCATTGAATAGAATTTAATTATCATTTCGAATGGATATTCTGTTTGTAATGACCAAAAACCATAGCCTGCATAATTCAATATTATTGAAATATTAATCAAAATCAATATGATGATTGAAATTATTTGACTTTTTCTCGATGTATCATCATATATCGTTTGGAATAATTTTGAATCACATGAACGTATTAATGAATAACCAATTCTATAATAGAATATATATGAAAAGATGAATGCTAATGGAAAAAAATTTTCAGAAACCAAATCAATCAATGTTCCAAAATGATTTTGACTTAATTCTTTTGCATTCATTCCTTCATTATTATTTTGATAATCTCTAAATAAAATATAAGCATAAATATGAACCATTAATAATGATAAAAATTTGATTAGTTGTGGCCAACAATTTTTCTTCAATCTCATTTCATCGAATGTCAAACCTATGAAGCTATTTCAAATGGAAATGTAAAAAGTTTATTCAAAAAAAAAAGAAATTCTTTTCAAATTCTTACCTAGAATAATTGACAAATAATCGAAGTGAAAAGTTTTTAATCTTCATTGTTAATGATGATTCATGAATGATTGATTGAAAAATGAAATGAATTTTGTTATGTCAAACAGAAAATACAATTCCATATTTGATCATCATAAAATATGAAAATATCGATAATCATTACTTGTCATTAATTGAATGGTTGGTGATCCAAAAAATGTTTCTATTTGATTAATACAATATGATCAGATGACTTGAATTGGAAATTTGCTTTTGGTTCTCATTTCGATCGATAAATTTTGAAAAAAAATTTGGATACAGTTTTCGATTCTTACCACTGGATGGCCAAAGTAGTTCCATATTTGTTGAATCAAATCAGTTTTAAAAACTTCAATGTTTTTCTCATTCAATCAACCAATATATTTGAAATTTTCATTATTTATGAATCAATTAGCTAGGAATAACATCATTTTCAAAACCAAAAAAAAAAAGAAAAACATTCTTCAAATGTTTATTATTATTATTATTTTATAACATGATTGAGAAAATAGGAAATTTTTATTTATTTTGTCGTCGTCGTCTAATAGTAATAATAATTGAAACCAGACTTATACGAGTAACGAAAACAAATGTTTAAAGGAATTCTTCTCTTTGGTTTTTGAGGTTTGATTTTTCCAAAAATCCAAAATACCATTATCAAACATTAAACATTTATTTATTATCATAACAGTTTGTTGTTGTTGTTTAAATCAGTTTCAACATCATCTAACCAAACCAAACCAAACCAAAAAGAAAATTTGTGTGTGGTCTTTTTTCATCATCATCATTTCAATCAAATATTTATCATCACTATTCCATCCAGTAACGATGAATTGTTTTCATTTCGTATTCGATTTTTTGGTGGTGAAAATTTTCTCTCTCTAGCAGTATTTATATTGGAAAATTAACAATTTATTTTCAATGAAGATGTTACTGATCTCTGATAGATTGATCGTTGATTTATATCATCATCAATGCAACAACAACAACAAAACAGAATTCAGTAAAATTAAAATTGAAATAAAATTAACCAGAAGAAAAAAAAGGACCACCATCAAATCAAATCAAATGAAGAAAAAATCAAACCAACAGTCGCCGCCGCTAAGATGATGCGCTGCCACACAGCCGCCAACATCATCAATCCAAAATGAATTTGAAATTCCGAAATTTTATTCAAAACATACACACCACAAGAGAAAAATTAGAAAAACGGTTCATTCACATAGAGATGATCTAGCGAAAAAGAAAAATAAAATGATTTCAATTGAAACAACAACAACAACAAAAACAAAAAATTGATGATAAAAATGTTTTTTTTTTCGAAAAAAATGTAAAATAATCAACCAAAATGCTATATCAATTTTCAAATTCGAAACACACACAAAAATTTTTAGCAAAAGTAAAAAATAAAATTTCTAGCCACACGACGATTATCATGGTCAATCAAATCATGATTGTATCATCATCATGGTATGGCTTCTTCGTTGGTGGGCTTTGAAATTATTATCATTTTTTTTCGAGAGTTCTCATCATCCAAAATAATGTTGTTGTAAATTTGATAATGAAAAAAGATGAAGACGAAAAGATGCAAGGATGAAAATCATTATCATCATTATCATGGTTAGAATTTTGTCTGAAAATTTGAAAGAAAAAAAACAATTAAAATTTGAATGGTGAACCATTCCATTTTTTTCACTTGTTCACATTATTATCATCCCTTGTGGCAAATCATAAATATCAGTCCACAAAAAAAAAGAAAGATACCAATATTGGTGTCACCAAGTCACAAAGATCAAGTCACCACCACCACCAACGATGTTGATGATAAACGATAGGGACGACGACGACGATGACGACGACAATTTTGTCATTAAAAAGGATTGACTTTCAGTCTTTCAGTGTTGACCATTGGTCTGATCTTTGAACGAAAAAGTGTGTCGTAAATTAATTTTCAAATGAAATACAAATACGAAAGCAAAGTGATATATAAGAAACAGAAAAGTCTTCGAAGAAAGAAGCCAAATTTTTTTTTGTTTCAAATTCTGTTGACAATTTTCGTTTTTTCTTCAATCCTTTTTTCGAAGATTGAATGATCATTTTTGTTTGGTGGTCGAAAAACAAAGACAAAATTTGCCGACAATTTTTCTTCTCTCTCTCTCTCACTCTCCCTCTTCATTTCTATTTTTTCAATATGGAAATGATCAATTTCAAAAAAAAAGAAAAAAAAATCACTGGACCCTATCGAATAACGAGAGAAGGATTGAGAAAGTTTTTTAGTCAAAAAAAAAAAAAAAAAAAGTCAAAACAAGCTAAGCGGAGAAAAAAAAATCATTGAGAAAAAACAACAAACAATTGATTTTTTTTTTGGACAGGAAATTGAGGATTATTTTTGTTTTCAAATGGTAAAAACATTGTCCATTGTTTTTGTTCAATGATTATTTTCATTTGTGTCATTTAATCATCGAAGACTGTCTGTGTGTGTGGTGTGATTCGATCCGATCAATCAACCGAATCGATTTGATCGATCCAAACATATATTGACAATGAAAAACAGCAGCAACAACAACAACCTGTTTTTTTCAAATATCGACCACCAAGTGATTCATTTTTGATTGTTTGAAAATATAAAAAAAATCATGTCGATCAAAAATTGGAAGAAATATTTCGACAAAACCGAAAACTGATTGACTTATCAAATGATTATGGCTTAATTTTTCTCAAAAAAAAAACTTTCCCGACAAACGAAAAAAGACATAAATCTTTTCACAAAGTTATTTCGTTTTTTTTTTCTGGTTAAGAGAGGGAAATCTGCAAAAATATTTATAATCTTGCCGAGAAATCAAGGAAAAAAAGTTGACACATCATATGGTGATGATTAGCAAATCATCATCATCATCGATTTATCATCATTACCAGATAAACTAAAATATTTCAATTGGTTATTTTTGATTCAATTCATTTAACTAAGGGAATAAGGGACGAGATAAGAAGAATGTACCATCATCATCATCATCATCATCAGGATCACAAAGGTTCATCGTAAAGTAACTTTTCAAGCAAACAAAACAAAACAAACAAAAATAATCTTTAAATTTAGAAAAATTTAGATAATCAAACAGCAACTGAACAACTGAAGAATAACCTTTCTTTTCATCGAAAAATCAGATTGATCAAAACCAATTGATTTGATTTATCATCTTTTTTTCCTGATTGAATAAAAGAAGTGAAAAAAAGAGTTATCAAACAAATCAATAAAACAAACAAACAAAGCAATGGCCATTTTTTCCACAATGGTCAGGTCTTTTTGTTGTTCTGCAAAAACTAAAAAAAAGTTTTACCCAACAAAGAAACAAAAAATTGGAGCAATTTTTCGAAATCAGAAATGAATCTACGAACACCGACATAATCTTCTTTCTTTTTCTCTCTCTCTCTCTCGATTTCTTTTATGTCAAAAAAAATAAAAAATCTTTTACTTTTTGGAAAATTTTCGGGTAAAAAAAAGTCGTTTGTTACATTTTTGACTATAACCGAAGTAGGTAATGAAGAAAAAAAATGCGCAACAGGTCCAATTTTTTATTATCAATTTGTGGTGCCACACAAAATATCTATTCTAGGTATAATCGGATGACCAGTGTGTGTGTGTGTGTGTGTGTATGCAGGGCAAACAAACCCTGGATGACAAAAATAAATAAATAAATTCCCGAAAAAAATATCCATATCGGCAAAATGCTTTGATCCATTCTGAATGTCAAAAAGAAAAGAAAAGAAAAGAAAAATTTCTTTATATTAAAAAAAACTTTGAAAAATTTATGAAAAAATTTCCAATGAATCTTATTACTCTTAAACAACTAAACTAAACACAAAAGCAAAGCTAAGATGTCACCGAAATTGATACCAAAAAACAGTAACAAGTATCATTGATTTTTTTTCTTGAAATTTGATCCAAACTAACCTTATAAACGAAACAAAAAAAGAAGTTTAAATTTTCAGAAAATTAAAGTCAATGATTTCTTATAAGAAATTCCAATGTTCATCATGTTTATTATTCGAGTCTGATTTGTTCAACTTCATATCAGGCTTTTGGAATGGCTATTTTTTTGAATTGTTTTTCATTTCAGTCAAGCAACCGACAAGAAAAAAAAATCCGCAAATCATGATAGCTGTAATTTTCTATAATTTTTCCTAAAACATTCAATGATCGGTAGGATAATATTATTCAAGCAATTCACCCTGAACACCAAAAAAAAAGAAAAACTAAAACAGAAACAAAAAAAACGAAATGATGAATGTAATCACCCTATATAGAAGAAGAATAAAACAATCATGATGATGATGATGGAAATTAAGTCATCAAAGAATATAATACAGAGTGATTTGAAAAATATGAATTGTTCTTCAATTAGAATTGAAAGAAAAAGTTAACTTTTTTCATTTTCTCATTTCCAAAACACCTTGTATCTTACAAAAAAACACAGGTGAAATGTTTCTATCATATGAAGGTATATATTTAAAAGATAAAAAATAATCTACTACCCTACAATTATCATCGATCATCATCATTGTCTTTTTGGTCATATCACATTTTTCAATGAAGAAAATTATACCAATCAGGGTTTGGTCACACACACACACACACAAACAAAAAACATAATCATTTTCAACAATAATGATGATGATGATGATCGTCGTCGTCGTCTTCATCATGTAATCACGACGATGACGAAGACGACCACCATTACCAATATCTTCATCATCGTTGATGATACCTACCACACACACACACACCATCGACAATGATCGGCCACACGATTTCTTTAAAACCAAATATTAAATGTCTTAATTTTTGTTTAAGGTTTTGGTTTCGTGTTTATCCTGGTTTTTTTCAAAAGTTGAAAAGAATTGATTTGAAGAAAGAATTTTTCAAAACTTTTGAATAGGGTGTGTTTTTATGATTGACACGCGTATGGAATTTTTTTTCTTGTAAATCACGATTATTACAAACTGAATCTGAATTCACCCAAACAAAATTCATTTTTCTATCATTATCATTTCTATCTTGTTCTGACCAATAGGGTGATCATCATGATGTAAGTCTATGGCGCCCACAAACACAAAACACATATTGCAAAAGAGTGGGAGAAATCCATTTACCTGATATCATCTTCATCATCATCATCTGAATAGAATAAAAACCTGTCAAAAAATGGCAAAGAAACAACAACAACAAAAATTAATCAGGGAGAATAGAAGAAAAAAAATAATGATAATCGTCTTTTTTTTCTTTGGTGATGGTAGTGAATATCTTTATCTTTTAAGGATTTTAGATTGTTGCTGTTGTTGTTGTTTGTTCACATTCTATTTGGGTAATAATTTATCATTCATATCAAGATGGAGAGAAACAGCAGGTAAAAAAACAAAATTCATACAAAAGAATGATGTATTTGAATGGTGAACCAGAACTTAACAACAAAAAATATAATGAAGAACACTTTGATTGATGTTCGGACTGTCAAACAACAAGAGAAGAGAAGAGAAAAAAAGATGATTATGTATAGAGGATTATATGAAAAAAAATGAAAATTACCTGGCGATAATAAAGACATTTTTGTTTTTCTCATCATCATCATCATCATCATCATCAAAAAGAGTGATATAACATCATAATAATCGAAAGGAAATTCTATAGGAATGAAAAATTTTCAATTTTAAAAACGTGATGTTGATAAGGATACTGACATTTTTGATGATGATGATGATCAACAACCAACCAATCACCCAATCATTTGATTCGAAATATAAATTTTTCATTGTTTTTGAACAAATGACCATAATGATGATGATCACCACCATCATTATTATGAAAGCGAAACATGAAATGAACAAAATCCGGCTTACCATTACTAAGAAAAAGGAGATGATTTTTCGTGCATGTTTGACCAGCAACAACAACAACAACAACCGAAGAAAGAACGAATTGAATGATAATGATGTTCGGTAATGATGGGTTAATTAAGAAAAAAAAGAAATCAATGTCGATAAATCGAAATTCATCGGCAATTTGATGGGCACCCAATATCCTAAAGCTATTTCGAAAAATCGATTCGAATTCGATTTTTCGCCAAATGATGATGATGAGTATCGACAACAACAATCGATACATCGATCGAACGTTTTTTTTTTCGTTATATCGAATATATTTGGTGCTAAAAAGTAAATATTTACCAAAGAATTTTGTTTAAAATGAAAATGATGAGAAAAACAAAAACCGACTCCGGCTTTGGAAAAGAAAAATATTCCTGGCCAATGATCCGATTGTATCGAAGAAAAACGGATTTTATTGTTATTAGATTATCATTGTGTCGAATAGAACAATAGAAATTGAAGTGATTCCACAAAAGTAAACAGGTGAAGATACAAAAAAATTGACCAAACCTTCAGATTGAATTCAAGATGTACAAACAAAAAACGAAGATGTTGAAAAAAATCGAGGTCATCATCATCATCAAATTCAAGATTTTCAATGTCAAAGTTCAAACAGTAATCATTAAATAATCAATAGTATTTCAGGTAAGTGAGTATAACCATCATCTTGAAAATATTTTTTTCTATTTCAAAATTTTTTATCATAACAAAAAAATATATTCGTAGGAGGCAATTATCATGGTCTATAAAGAACCAACAACAAAATATAGAATAAAATTTCCCAAAATGGTGATCAATCATCTAAGCACACACACACACACACACATCATCTATATGTATTTAAAATACGAGCCAGCCAGCCAACCATTATCATCATAATCATCATCGATGGCCATCAATGTTTGGCCTGTTTTTTTTTATTCATTCAAATTTGCATTCGAGAAAAAAAGACGTACACAGTAAGCGAACAAATGGAAAGAAATCCGGAATCTTGCTAATTTCCGGTTCGATATTGTTTGAGAAAAAGAAAAATCTTGAGATGAACAAGAAGAAGAAGAAAAAGAAACGAATGAAAATTTTATTGTTCAAACATAATCTTTATTCATCATCATCAAGGATATATGTGATTATTATTCAAATCAAAAAAACAGACATTCAAAATTCAAATTCAAGAAAAATTGAACAATCAAAACCAAACAAAACAACAACAAAAACTTGAATAAAAATTTCAAATTGCATAATAAATGGTTAACATCATCATCATCATCATCATCGTCGTCGGTAGCATCATCATCTATCATCATCATCATCATCATATCGATGTTAAAATAGATTCAAAAAGTTCAAATGATCGGTCAAACTTGTAGATTTTTTTTTTCGTTTGCATTTTCTACCATCAACGAAATAAATAAATAAAATTAAAATTGAAAAAAAAACGAAAGAAGCCGAACATCAAAAGATGTTTTCCGCCATTACTAAATGAAGAAGAAGAATATCATCATAAAAACAACAAACCGTAATGACACACGAATCAAAAAATGAAATGAAATGAAATTCAAACAAAAACAAAATTGAAGGAAAAATCAAATAAAATTTCAAAACAAAATGAAATCAAATGACCAATATTGATTACCAGAATGATGGTCATTTGTTTTTGTTGTTGAATATAATGGCCCCAAAATGATAATAACCGGTGGCCATCAATAATGATTGTCTTGTTTAATTATTGTCTAAGATTTGATCAGATGTTTGAAGAAAATTGATGAACATAATGGTCACTAAATTCATATATGACGTACTTCCGACCGATATAATCGGATACTGTATATAAGATCTTAGGTAGGTGGTATATTGAAAGAGAGGGAAAGAGAGGGAAAGAAAGAAAGAAAGAATACCGAGAAGAAAAAAAAAACTTTATTTTAAATCTTTGAAAAAATATTAATCTTGTATATGTAAGAAGAAGATATTCTCCATATCTAAAACTAAATCAGCTTATCAAGGGAAATTTTTTTTTTTTTTAGTCTTTTTATAAACCGATTTCAATGTCCCGTATGTCTGTGTGTGGTCAATTTTTCTTTTTTCTTTTTTTAACATTTAAATCTATGGCAATTTTTCATCATCATCATCATTGGTGATGGCGGCAGCCAATCATTTACCTCAAGATTTTTTTTCTTACCGAGAAAAAAACGAAACAGGCAGAAGAAAAAATGTGATTATCATCATGTTGGATGTAGAAGTCTTCTTCTTCGGTTGAAGATTTTAAAAAAAAAAATCAAATTTCCTTCATCATCTTGATCTCTCTGTGCATGTGTGTTGTTTCGATGTGAAATTAATCACCAGATTCCAAAAGATATTTTCTTTGCTTTGCTTCAACATTAATTTTAATCAAATTGATGTAGAATTTCTTCAACATTTCATTCATCTTTCAACAATTTAGTTCTTTTTTGGTTTTGGGTAATATCTGATTTCAACATCTCACAAAGATAATTCAAATTTAAATTTTTAATTGAAAAAAATAATGATAATAAGGTGTGTGTGTTTGATTTGATTCTTTTTTGTTTTTGAAAAAATTTTCGCGCCAAAAAATTACTTTATTTATAGAATGAATTTCAAATGCATATGTCGTATACCACCAGCCGATGAAGACCGGAATCATTGCTCATTTCATTGCTGATGATCTTTGGCCTTTCGGTCGAGAAACTGAATCATTTTTTTTTGGACTATACAAATAAACAAAGTATCAAAAAAAGTTGACGGTGGTCACCCACCAACCAACCACCACCCCCTCTCTCTTTCTCTGTTAGCATTGCTCAGAATTTTTTTCATCGTCTTCTTTCCATGATGATGAAGACCTCACTCGAAGTTTTTTTTGTTGTTGGTTGCTTTCATTGCCTTCAAGTCATGCCTACAACCGTTGAAAATGATCAAGACTTCGATGACCGACGACGACGACGATGACGACCAATGGCTACCCAAAAAACCACCATCATTGAATAAGATTTTTGTTTTTTTGGAAAAAAATCCAGTCAATTTTTTTTTTTGTTTGCAAATCAATTCGGTACAATATTGGCTATAGAAGAAAAAAAATGGTCAATGAAATATTGGTCTATTATCTTCTTCCTCTCTCGTTCTTTTTTGCCTATCAAGAAATTGACAAACAATCGATCTATCGAACTATCGATCTAATGGCAAAAAGAGAATTCATTTTTTATTTCATGACCACCTTTTTTTTTGTTGTTGCTGTTGACCAGTTTTATACCACACAGCATGATTTGTCTTTCTCTCTCTCTCTCTCTCTCTCTCTCTCTCTCTCTCTCTCTATATCTTATCCCATCTTTTATCTCTATAGGTTTTGACCTATGTCCCTCTCTCTCTCTCTCTCTCTCTCTCTCTCTCTCTCTCTCTCTATATCTTATCCCATCTTTTATCTCTATAGGTTTTGACCTATGTCCCTCTCTCTCTCTCTCTCTTTTGGTGTGTTTGTGTGGCCAAAATAACCTTAACTTTAGAGAAAGAGATTGTATCGAAAAAAGATATTTTAGTTAGAAGCCATTTTTTTTCTTCTTCTATTTCTGACCCAAAAAAAAAGTCAAAGTTGAAAGAACAACAACAAGTTGACCACCACCACCACTATGGTTAATAGCTACTGCTACTACTACAAAACTATAAAAAGAAATTCTTATCTGGAAAAATTCTTAAGCTACACAATTTTATTGGGCAAAAAAAAATTTACAGGAAAAAAATTATGGCGCGCAATTTTTGAAAAGTTTTTTTTCAACAAAAAAATGATGATGATATTCTTCGAGGATCATTGTGGAAATTTAAAGGAAATTTCAGAAAAAAATATGGCCAAAGAAAAACTGGGAAGAAACCAAAAATTTCAAACCATCACCAGACCATGATTTTTTTTCTGTTAAGCCAAATAAAACATCGAAAACTTCGAAACAACAAATTGAACCACCACACTACAGCCACTAGTCATTATAATAATAAAAAAAATTTCAAATTTTTCCTTCTTCAACGATCATATTGGTGAACAACCACCACCACCACCATCACCATCAACGATCAACATTATCATTCACCACTCCAACCAACCAAATAACAAATGCAGACATTCTCTGGCCAAAAATAAAATTTCGGGAAAAATTCTTAATGTGTGGCCATTTGATAGCACCCCAGAGTACAGTGTGGATACACTCAATACACCCGTACACACATTTCTTTCAAACAGAAAATGAAAAACGAAGACCAAACACACACACAAACACACTACCAATATCATCAAACAATCCAAATCTATCTATCTCATAGATACAACTAACCAAACAACCATCCATCCAATCGAATCAGGAATCCAAAACAACAACAACAAGAAAAAATGGAATGAATTTTTTTTTGAAGCTCAAAGTTCATTTGTTATTTTTTTGAATGTTTTGTTTTTTGCATTTTTTCTACCGAAATCCGAAATTATCATTATCAACGTTTTCTGATTAAAAAGAATCTAATTTTTTCCATTGAAATTAATGTGAAATTCTTGTTTGTGTGTGTGTGTGGGTGTGTTGTGTGTAACATCATCATCATCATATAACAGCAATTCTGTTTTAAAAAATTTAAAATTTTCCATCAAGGAATAATTATCATCTATAGCTGATGACTTCTGTATGTAAAAAAAAATGAACAACAACTCAATTTACGCTAGCTTGTTACGCTAGCTTTCGGCTCGCTCATTCATTCATTCATTTGTTGTTGTTCAACAAGAAGCCTATAAAACATTTAATGACTTAATTTTCGTTCCATTCTTCTTCACTATCTATCGTTGTTGAATATTTGTTTCTGCATTTTTGTTTCTGGATCGAGTTTTTATTTTCTCAACAACAACAAAAATGTGTTCAATCAATTCAATAATGTGAATTCTTTATCGATTCTTTCTTTTCGAAATTGATCAACAGAATGCATGAAAAAGATAAAGAAAAAATAATGGAAATAAAATCGAATAAAAAAATATCGATTGAAAGAACTAAAAAATGTTCATCATATCCATCAGATCCCGGTGGCGGTGGTGGTGGTGGTAATTTTAGTGATGTTGTTGGTGGTAATATCTCAATCAATGATAATCAACAACAACAACAACACCATCATTATACAATGAATAATAATAATAATAATAATTCTCATTATCATCATCATCATTATCAACATGATCAAATGAATAATCATAATAATAATCAAGAATTATTATCAACATGGTCATTAGCTGATTCTTGTGATAGTATTGATGAACGATTATCATCATCATCGATACCTTCTAATCATCATCATCATCAACAATATCAAATACATCCATTATCATCATCAATAAATAATCAACAACATCATCAATATTATCATCATAATCATACGACACAATTTTATCCAACAACAACAACAACAAATCTAAAAACAAATCCAGCATGGATTAAAGTCAAACAATCTAGTGTTAAAAGTCCAGATATTTTACAAAGGCCATCATGGTTTGATGCAGAATTAGCATTAAATCAAATGGAAAAGGTTAATAATAATAGTAATTTTTTTTTAAATTCAAATCATCATCATTTTTTTCTTCTTTTCGATTGGTTTCGATAATAAAGGGCAAAGCAAATGGCAATGGTACATCATTATGGTTACGTTTTATGATACAGACAAGATTTTTTGAATTAGGTTTATGGATACAGAAAAAAGCCGGTGCCATTATGTTTATTGCATCATTAATATTAATTGTTTGTATAGCTGGTCTTAAATCTGTTCATATTGAAGATAATGTTGAAAAACTTTGGATTGAAGGTTTGTTTTTGCTTTTCAAATTTCATTTGACACTTGTTGCCATTTACTTTTTTATCTTTAAATTAAAAATTTAAAGATGGTGGACGATTGGAAAAAGAACTACAATATGTACGAAATATTCTTGGCGATGGTTATGGTACAACCGATCAAATAATCATACAAACACCTAAACATAATTATGGTAATGTTTTAAATTCATCTGCATTATTATTTCATTTGAAAGTAATGCGTACGGCTATTACAACCACTGTCGAAATGTTTGATGCGTAAGTTTTGAATACAAAATTTCTCCAATTATTTTGATAAAATTTGTTTTTGTTTGTTTTTTTTCAATCATCCTATAGGACATGGAATCTTAAAGACATTTGTTATACACCAAGTAGTCCTTACTTTGATAAACATCATCTTGATTCGGTAAGTTTGAATTAATTAATTATTTTTTTGTTTGAAATGTATGGTTAATATAGTAAATTTTGCGAAATAGCTTTTGGAAAATATTTTCCCTTGTTCAATTATAACACCATTGGATTGTTTTTGGGAAGGATCCAAATTACTTGGTCCTGAAATTCCAGTAAAAATACCCGGATATAATCAACAGGTACAATGGACAAATCTAAATCCACAACAAATGGTCGACGTTATGATTACATTAATGAAACAATCGATTGAATCATCCGGTGCTATTATCGATAATAATAATCTAATTGATAATAATGGTGGTAGTAGTTCGGGTATTAATCCTATTCTAGAACCACTTGAAACAATTAGAAAATTTATGAAACGTGCCGGTATAACCAGTGGTTATCAATCAAAACCATGTTTAGATCCAGAAGATTTTAATTGTCCATTAACATCACCAAATAAATTATCTGGACAATTACCAAATATTGGTTATGAATTAACTGATGGTTGTTATGGATTTGCAACAAAATATATGCATTGGATTGAAGATTTGATTGTCGGTGGTGTTGCGAAAAATCGATCCGGACATATTGTTCGTGCTAAAGCATTACAATCAATCATACAATTAATGGGTGAACAAAATCTTTTTGAATATCATCAACGTACGATTAAAGTTCAACATGTTATGGATTGGTCAATTGATAAGGCACGTTCCATTCTTCAAGCATGGCAACGAAAATTCGGTGAAGAATTGGAACAATTTATGATGGAAACTGATTTTATCGGTAGTCAACAATATGATGTTCATCATTTTACTAGTGCATCACTGACAGATATAATGAGAAATTTTACACAAGTCAATTTTATTCGTTTATCCATTGGTTATATATTAATGTTATTACATGCTGGTTTATCATTATCAAGATGGCGTAATAAACATATCCGTTTAGAAAGATCACAATCTATACTTGGAATGTTAGGTGTTTTATTAATCGGTTTAGCTGTTGCATCTGGTCTTGGTGTTTGTGCATTAATTGGTCTTTCATTTAATGCAACAACAACACAAATTGTACCATTATTAGCATCTGGTTTAAGTATTGATAATATGTTTCTTATTGCTCATCTTTATACTACTGATTTTATGATTAATTTTGTACCTCATCAGGTAAGCTTAATTTACAAATTTTTCTTTTTTTTTAATATGAAGTTTAATCAATTTGTTTTACATTCAAATAGTATCGAACAGCCGAATGTTTAAAACAAACCGGTTTTAATATTTTATTATCATCGATTGGTAATATTGTTGCATTTTGTTCGGCAGCAATAATACCGATACCAGCATTACGTTGTTTTTGTTTACAAACAGCCATTTTAATTACATTTACAACTATAGCTGTGATTATTTTATTTCCAGCTATTGCTTCGATTGATTTACGTTTTCGAAGTTTATATCTTGAATCGACAACAACAACAACAAATCAAAATGATGTGAAAACATCATCATTTTTAATCAACATGTGTTTCTATCTATTCTGTTGTCGTACACCACAATTTCAGCCACATAATAATCAAATCTCAACAACAACAACAACATCTGGATATAAGTCTAATAAATATCCAATTTCAAATCTTCAACAACAACAACAACAACAATCTAGTCATCATCATTCATCAACAGAATCATCGAAATTAAAAACATCATCATCATTTAAACAGCCATATAATTATGTCTATCTAAACAGTATTCAACCAATGATTAATAATAATAATAATAATGTTAATCATCATCATCATCATGATGATAATATTGTGAAAAGAAATTCTCCAGCTATTTGTCGTTGTCAACATCGTACAACATCATTTGCATCTAATATTGTTACAATTAGTAATAATGTTGATGATGATGATGATGAAATTATACGACAATGTGATCATTGTGGTGGTGATCTACGTACACAATGTGATGGTCAAAATGATGATGATCAACAAGAATTTCAGGAAACTTCACCAATTGCTCCTTCTTCTTCATCATCATCATCATCGAAACCACATATATTGAATAGAATTCAAACCGAAATAACTTCATCGTCATCATCATCAAAACAAACAACAATCAAATTATTTAAATTCTCTACAAATCATATTGTTCAACATTATCTTACACCCGTATTAAAACGACGACCGATAAAAGTTTTTGTTTTACTTTGTTATCTTGTTCTTATTGTGATTTCGGTGATTGGAATCACAAAAGTTAATGATGGTCTTGATCTTACCGATATTGTTCCTCGTGGTACAAATGAATATCGTTTTCTTGAATTACGGCGACAATATTTTAGTTATTATAATATTTTTGCTGTAACAAAAGGAAATTTTGATTATCCAAATGGTCAAAGATTATTATATGATTATCATCAAACATTTAATAGAATCGATGCTATTATTAAAAATGATGATGGTGGATTACCAGATTTTTGGTTGCCAATGTTTCGTGATTGGCTAAAAGAATTACAAGATGCATTCGATTATGATCGTAAACGTGGCTGTATAACACGTGAACGTTGGTATCCAAATGCAACATCTGAATCTATTTTAGCTTATAAATTACTTGTTCAAACGGGTCGTCCAGATAATCCGGTTGATAAATCATTATTGCTTTCAGCTCGATTAGTCGATAGTCAAGGAATTATTAATCCAAAAGCATTCTATAATTATCTTAGCGCATGGATATCAAATGATGTTATGGGTTATGGTGCTTCGCAAGCTGCATTCAAACCTGAACCACGTCAATGGATTCATGAAGCTAATGATGTTGAATTGAAGATACCAAAATCACCACCATTAATATTTACACAGATTCCATTTCATCTGAATAATATTCGTTCGACGGAAGAAATTGTTCAAACTATTCAGGATGTTCGTTCTGTTTGTCAACGTTTTGAAGAACGTGGCCTACCAAATTTTCCTACCGGTATACCATTTACATATTGGGAACAATATCTTGGTCTTCGTTTCTATATGATTATTGCTTTAATGGCTGTTCTGATTGGAATTTTTGTTACTACATTAGTTTTGACCTGTAGTTTATGGACACCGGTTATTATTGTCGCCCATCTTATCATTAACGTTTTGATATTATTTGGTTTTATCGGTTGGATCGGTATCAAACTAAGCGCTTTACCAGCAGTAATTTTGATTGTATCGATTGGAATATCATTGAATCCATTGATTCATATTACGATTGTAAGTTTTTATATTTTTTTTCTTTTCTCAAATTAGTTAAAGTAGCAAGTTATTAATTATTAATCTTTTTTTTTGTTGTTGTAGAGTTTCAACACAGCTTTAGGTAATCGTAATAAACGAATGTCAATGGCTTTGCAACATATGGCCAATCCAGTATTGCATGGAATTATATCAACATTATTTGGATTGATAATGTTATCATTTTCAGAATTTGATTTTATCATTAGGTATTTATATTCGATTGTTTGTTTGTTTTTCTTTATAATAATATAAACACCTTTTTTTAATGTTATAGATATTTTTTCATGGTACTTGGTGCATCTATTTTAATTGTTACCATCAATTCATTTATATTGTTACCAATTATATTATCAATTATTGGACCAAAATCTGAATTACAACCGCTTGAACATGAAGATAGAATTTCAACACCATCACCACCACCATCGCCGATTACATTACCATGGCCATCAACAATAAATCATCATTTTAATAATGGTAGTGTTATTGGTAATGATCATTCTTCATCAAATAATCGATACATTGAAGCATTGATGCTAGAAACAGCTGGTATAGGTCATAGAAATGGAAGAAAATCACCATCAAAAATTAATCGTACACCATCATCATTATTTAATCGTTATCGAGCACAACGTAAAGAATTACAACGAATGCATTCACAATTAAGTTTATCAACAATATCCGAAGAGCCATCATCATATCAATCGACACCAACACCAACAATAACACCATTACCTAATCATAATACAGGCTCGCCACCACAACAATCAAATATAACAACTATTCAACCGACAACAGCAACAACAACGCAGCCAATTGTTGTTCATCCGGAATTTGTTGTTGAAACAACCATTACGAATAATAATCCAAAAACATCCATAACACCTACCTCAGAGATTAGATCATCATCTTCATCATCAGCAGCGACAGCAACAACTAATAGTCCATCACCATTAATGTCAAACGATGGTGATAATAATTCTCGTTGTGAATCATCTAATTCGATAGCATCATCATCAACAACAACTGTAACAACAAAAGTAATGGCAACAGCAAAATTACAGATTGAATTACATCCATATACACCATCACCAACACCTACAATAGGATCAACACCAGCAGCCACAGTAATAACGAATCCTATACAACATCATCATCATCCGATTGTTCCAACAATGGTATCATTTCCTGGTGCAAATTATCATCAATATCCACAAACACAATCACAACATCATTATCAGCCAATATTTATGTCACAACCACATCCATCATCATATCATCATCATCATCCTCATATACCGAATCAACAAACAACAGGACATGAATATCGTTTCTATCCAGGACAATCTGTTACATTTGATCATCATCATCCTCATCATTCAAATCAACAAGTACGACGATTTCAACAACAACAACAATCATCAAATAAATTAATATCCACAACATCCACATATCAGCCATCAATGATGATGAATCAATCGACAAATTTGCCAAATCATCATCCTCATCATCATCATCATCATCAACAACAACAATGGCGATAAATCTTTGACAAAAAAAATACAAATGAAAAATACTCGAATCTCACTTTTTTGCTATTTGTAAATTTTTTTATTTTAAATTTATTTATTTATTTCTTAATTTGTAAATAATTTTTTTGCTGCTGTATACATCCCCCTTGGGGAACAACGAAATTATCAGATTTTTTTTTGTTCGTTATGAAAATGAATAAATATGCTTTTTGTAAATTAAACTAGATGTGCGTAGATGTTTTTCGGTTCTATTTTTAAAAAAACTGAAGAAAGTTTTCTGATCAATAACAAAAATCATTGATTATCTTATTATGCTGGATTATAATCGATGAATATGGATGAATCGATGGACTTGTTGTTGTTTTTGTTTTTAAATAGAGAAAGAACTAAAATTATAAAAATGGATAGTAATCAATCACAGGTATCCAACAAAATGATATTTGTTCCTGTAAATGTTTTTTTTTCTATTTAGTTTCGTCATCGTAGCCATCATTGTTAACATAGAAACACAAATTACACAAAATCAACAAGCGATGAAAATTGACAGAATTTTCTCGATTGTAAATATTTTGTTTGATTCCATTCGACTTTTTGGAATAAAACATAAAAATAATATTTGATCCATATATCGTATAAGAATTTCTTCGTAAAAGAAAAACAATGATGACAATGATTTATTACTTGATCAAATTTTTATTATTATTTTCAATTATTTGAATGTCCTCATTCATTCATTGTTTGTTTGTTTAATTTGTCATATTTGATATCGTCATCGTTTTTTGTTGTTGTTGTTGTTATGATGGTTATGGTTGATATTTGAAAATGAAAATAAAAAAATAAATATTCAGATGAATGAATGAATGAATCAACAATGCAAATCTTTGATCGAAAAAATACTTACGTAATAGAATAATGATTGAAAATTTCATGGACGATTTTGTCTTTCGGTCGGATAAAAACAGCAACAACAAAACAAAAAAATTAGAATTTTCCAATTTCAAAATTTCATATTCATTTCATTATTTTAAACAAATTATCATAAAATATTAATTCCCATTTGAATTTTCTGATTTGACATTGATAACAAAATAGAAAAAGAAAAGAAAAGAATTGTATAATAATGGAATAAAATGATAATAATTTTTTTTGTTTTATTCAAAAGAAAATTACATTATCAATAATTTACATGAAAATGGTTTACATGAGGAAATGAATGAAGACATCATTCATAAAGTTAGTTATCCAGAATCAGAATCCAATGATTTATTTTTTTGTTGTTGTTTTGTCAATGTTATAATCTTTTAGGAAGATCTTTTGTCTTTTTTCCCCTTTTTTAGTTTTTCCCAAAGGAATCGTCATATAAGTAAATTTGGTTTGTTTTCCTATTGTAAAGAATGTTGAGTGCATCCACATCACTCATCATCATCACTAAAATGAAAAAGAATCTTTTTTGATGATGACAATAAAATGGAATAAAAAGAAAAGAACATTTCATCAACATTTCATCATAATTATTCTTGTTGTTGTTGTTGATTTCAAATAACAAAAGGGCTGAAAATAGACGAAAAACAAATGACCATTTTTTTTTTATTATTATCATCATTTTTTATATTCTTTATTCTGCAATTACACATATATAAAATGATGACAACCAGGAATTTTGCAACCCTATGCATTTCATTTCTTTTTCTTTTTTCTTTTTTCGAAATAGATTCTAGATCCAAAGAACTTTGGTCATTTAATTTTGTTTAAAAAAAATTAATAGATTTTATCAATATGGTTTGTTTATCTATTGGATTGTTTCTTGCATTGCTTCTGCTTCTTCTTCTTCTTCTTTGCACTACATTGAAATAATCTAATCGAAATAATGGACATTCATTATAAAAAATAAAAACCATAATAATAGTAATAAATAAATGGAGGGGGAAAAAAATGAAACATAAATTCTTTTTCATTAACAACTTTATTTGTTGTTGTTGTAGTTGTAGTTTATTTACTAATGTCTTTCATTTTTTTCGGAGAAAAATGTCAAACTTAAAACTTTATTATTTCGATTTTAATGGTAGCAATAATATCGACAATGATAAAAAAAAATGGTTTTAATCCACGATTGTAATTAACGATAGTCGTCCATCATTATCGATTGTTAAAAGAAAGATTCGATTTATCGATACTAATTCTTTTTCCTTTTCTTCTTCTTATCTTCAATTGTTCGTGATCTATTAATTCGTTTCATTATTATTATATTTTGATCTTTTTTTTTTAAAAAAAAGAAATTAATTAAAAAATTGTCAAAAACTTATAGATATTATTATCCGATTATGACTTAATAATTCTGTCAATTAAAAAAAAAAGCTATCACCATCGAAAACTTATCAATTAGATAACTTTTTTTTTCATCGAAGGAAATGTCATTAATTTGGTTGTTTTAATCACAAACAAAAAAAAATGTAAATGTCATTCTAATCATTCACATTCATTCATTCAATCTTCAAAAAAAACAACAAAAGAATAATAATTTCAAAAACAAAAATCTTTTTATTGCCAATCAATTATTTTTATCTGTAATTCTGTTTCCCAAATTTAATCAAAATTAAATCAAATTAATAAACAGTTATATTGAACAAATATGTTTTATTGTTGTTGTTTTGTTTTTGTTTCGATTGTTTTGTTTTGTTTGTTTTTCAATGATGATAATAATGATGAGAAAAAAAAGCTGAATTTTTTTGAATTTTTGTTTTGAATCAAAATTAAAAATTAAGTGTGCGTCATATAGCGAGACAGAGATAGAGATAGAGATACAGAGATAGAGAGAGAGAGAGAGAGAGAGAGAGAGAGAGAGAGAGCGAGAGAGAAACAGGAGATATCCAATATTTTGATTTTGATCGTTTTTTTTTGAAATAATTCGTTTTAATAATAAGATAATTTGATTTTTTGTTTGTTTTGTAAAATGTAATGTAATTAGATGGAAAAATAATTGCATTTCTACGATTTAAAATGTGAAAAATTTCGATGATGATGATGATGATGATGATGAATATTAGGAATTTTTTCGTTTGTAAATTCTAGTCCAATATTTTTCATTCAGAATTTGTTGAAAGTTTTTTCTCCCAAATGAATGAAATCGTTGATGATGATGATGATGATAAAATTCTTAGTGAAGGTGCAACAGGAAAAAAAAATTCAATAATGTAGCCAAAGGATGAAATTTTTGTGAGAAGAAAAAATTCGGATTGAAACAAGATTATTTTCACTTTGTTTCGATGATTCTTTGATGATGATCATTTGATTTTTCTAAAAATTAGAGTTGCTTTCTTGCATCATCATCGATTGATTTATATTTTACTGATTAAAATTTTTCCTGTGACGATGGCTGCTGTGGTTGTTCTGGTTGTTGTTGTTGTGATCGTTTCGATTCATTACGTCGTTTTAAATCGGTTTGTCGGGCAAGATTTTCAGCTAAAATTTCCAATAAATAACTCTATAATTCCAACCAATTTATAAGTGAATGAATGAATGATGATGATTTAAAAGATGATAATGATGAATAAATTATTCATTTTAGTTAATTAATGAATGATTTTTTTTGTTGTTGTTGTTGTGGATTTTGTTTGTTTGAATTTCCAGATTGGAAATCAAACATTCATGTGTAATGTGTGTGATTTAAAAGGAGAAATTCATGTGTGTTTTTTTTCAAATATTTTTTTCTAGGAATCTTTGTTTTTTTAAGGTCAATCAATCAGAATTTACCTCAGTCAATTTAGTTAATGGTTGATCACGATTAATCAATAGCCAACGATATGGTCCATTTTCGATTATTTCACCACTTGATTGTAGTTGTTGTTGTTGTTGCGGTTGTGATTGTAAATCTACAGCACTATTATCATCACCAAAGTTGTTGTTGTTGTTACTAGCACGTTTACCGAATCTATTTTTTTGGAGAAAAAAGTGAATTTGTAATTGAAACAAAAAACGATAAAAAAATCAAAATTCAAATTACCTTGGTCGTGCCATTTGTGAATAATATTTATCCAATTCTTTCAATGTATTCATTGCACTACGATGATCATATGGACGATAAAATTCCATTGCTGCGTATGGTTTTGCATGTGCAAAACTCCAAAATATTGTCGATGTTGTACAAGAAAATAATAATAAAAAATAAAATGTTGCCATCATTAATGACCATGTTGTCATCGGTGTTTTAATCTTATTATATTTATTATTATTATTGTTATTCTTAGGATTTGTTGTTGTCGATGTTAATCTAATCATTTTATCTTCTTCTGTCGATATTGTTGAAATATTTCCAGATGTTGATGATGAAGATTTTATACAATTATTATTCAATGTTGAAAAATTTTTAAGATTAATTATCATTTGAAAAATATCGATAAAATTTAAATGTTGAAATTTTGATATCATTCTCTGGATTGGATAATGAACGATATCTTTCAAAAATGAAATGTTGTGTTCGTTGATCAAGTTGATTTCTTTTTCTTTTTGAAAAATGATTTGAAACAATGTTTTTTTTTTTGTTGCTGAATTTTGTGGATCAAAAAAACAAAATTAACTTCACTTAAATATCATCCAAATGATGAATAATAATCATTTCAATGTTGAAACATTGGTTTTTATTCGTGAAATTTTTTTTTTCGAAAAGAATTTCCAATCAATCGATCGATCAATGAACAAATATAACTAGGCTAAACATGACAAACAACAACGAATTAATTTCCGTAGTCGGTTATTAGGTGTTTTAATTTTGTTCTTTTCATTTGCAATTTTTTCTGATAAGATGCATGCGAAGAAGGTTGAAGAAAAAGACCAAGATAGAGAAATGGGCGTCAAACTCGAATATTCTTTATATCATTTCATTAGCGCACAAATCATTCGTTTGTTTTTTTTTCTATATCATTTTGCCGGCGATAATACAAACTAATGTTTTTTTCTTGAGACGTCTCAATATTCATTGATCATCATCTTGTTTTTTTTCTACAGAAAATGAATGATGCCCGGAAAAAAATAAAAACAAAATTCAAAAACCATCAATTCTGTTGAACAAGATTATTATTCAAATTTTTTTTTGTTTCGTTTGGTAGGTCAAGAATTTGATAAAAACATCTTTTTTTTAGACATCTATTAATGATGAACCAGTATATCATTTTTTATAAAAAAATGACAGGCAAAGAAAAATGAATAAATTTTTTTGACAAATTCTTTTTTTCCGTTCAACATTTGGGTATGGTTGTGAATGATGACGTAACATTATTTTAGATAAAAATTTCTCTTGTTTTTGAATCCCAATGATCATATTCGGACAAATAAGGTAAACATTGAATTGAATGATTCTTCTTGAACATTGCTAAATTGGATTTGATTTTTCCCCAGTTGATCAATCCCAAACATACCGAATAATTTTTTTGGGCCCAAAATGAATTGGATTATGTTAAGTGTTCCAATAATAATGATAATAAGTTTTGGTCAATTTATATTGAGAAACATCATCGAAATAGATTCAGTGCAATTCGAAATCGAATGACATTGTTTACATTTATGTATTTTTTTTGCCTTTATAAATAATTTACAATACTTGGTTTGTTTTGTCGTTTTTTCTCCTAATGTAATAATATTCGATAATTGATGAACAAAACAATCCAAAATTGAAGAAATTCTCCATACAATTAAACAAAACATTGACAAATTTGACATTAATTTGTCGAATATTTTTCCCAATTCGAACAAAGTAAACAACAACAACAAAAAAAATCAAAGATGAAAATCATTTTTATTTATCGATAAGGGGATGATAATTGAAAATTTGAATACAAAATTATTTATAGATATTTATATAGAAATAAAAGAAAAATCCAGAGAGTGAAAAAAAGAAAAACGATAGATTTATAATCACAATTTTTTTTTAAACTTGAAAATTACAAAAATGGAATTCATTTACAAATTAAATCGAAAGTTCTAAAGTTATGTGAATGTTATAATTATTAAATTTTCGATAATTTCATTTCATTTTTTTTTTTGGACATGAATGAATAATTTATGACATTTTTTTTTCATTTACATTTTACATTTTGTTCGATTTAGTTGGTGTATTCATTTGTCCAACGGAAACAGGAACATTACCGGCTGCTGTATGCATTAAATTAGTATTACCTGCTGTTGCTGTTTGTACAGCTCCTGGTGATGATGATGTTTGACCAACCACATTACCTCCATTACCATTTGGACCACCACCCATTACTTGTGATTGTTGTGATGATTGTGGTTCTTTTTCAATATTTTTCAATAATTGATTTAGCCAACTTTTTGTACCACGATCATTATTCAAACAAGTTGCAAATGTATTCGATCTAAGATGATCAGGTAAGCAATGACGTAATGCTTCACGTGCACGTGGATTATCCGATAAACGAAGATAACAACGAATAACATGTTTTAACAAACGTGCCGATTGATCTTTAGCCAATGCAACAACCATTTTACCAAGAATCATGGCAACATGTGAAAAACGATCATATGTTTGACAGATATAATTCAATCCAGTTTCATCAAGAAGAATTTTCTGCAAAATAAATGTTGCAACAGTTTTGGATAATTCAGTTCCAGATTCCATAATACGCAAACATAATGGTATGATTTCAGTTTTAAGCAAAAAATTAATAACTTCTTTTTCATCAGTTTTAACCAATGCACCAATAACACCCAATGATGTCAATCGAAGATATTCGAATGGACGTGTTTTCGATGATGTGTTCATATTAAGAAATGGATACAAAAATAATGGTATATTAGCCTGAAGAAAAGCGCCACGAGTTTGTGCATGTGATGCAACACATTGAAGCAATGCAAGTGCATTACAAACACGATTCGATTGATGTGCATTCAATGTTGGCGGATGAATGGTTGGATAAACCGAAATGATTTCCTTCAATAATGCAGCCATGGCACCGAATGAATTGTAAAGTAAAACAGCAAGATCTTCAACATTTTCACGTTTTCGAGATAATTCCATTAAAGCATGTTCTCGTGTTTCATAATTAAGTAGATCACCAATCAATTGTAAAATACGTTCAGTTTCGGCAGATTGTACACCACTAGTTGGCATTATTGTTAATGGTGTATTAAGGCCGGAAGATACCGGTGTTGAACCAGTCGATGATACAGCAGTCGTAGATGTAACAGCAGTAGAAACTGGAACACCAGAATTACCAACAGGATTCAATGATAATTGTGATACATGTACAGTTGCAGCATTCATCATAGCAATCGATTGATTTGATTGTGATGTTGATGATGAAACATTTGATGACAGCATTGTTTATTCTACCTGACAAGAATATACCGAAAAAACCGAAATAAAGAAAATTACAGAAATATTGTATTCCGAACACACAAAACCTACCTTTGGTTATTTAGAAAAAAAAATTAAACAATGAGATCGATTAACATAAAATAAAAATTGAAATAGAAATTCAATTGGATAACAATGACTTTGCAGTAAAATTAAAAAAAAAAGAATGATGAGAATTTTTCAACAAAAAAAAAATTTTACAAACTAAAAAAAACCGAACACGAAAAAACGATGAGACAGAAAAATCGAGAGAAGAAAAAAAAATTCGAAACGTTCATATAGGACGAACCAAAAAAAAAAAATTGCGCATGTTATTAATGGATTTATTTTTTTAGAAAAATGATTTCATCAACAAAAAACAAATGAAAAAAAAAAATTTCGATTAAAAACAAAAAAATCTTTTTCATCATCTAATTTATCATTTCGACATTTTTTCTACCACATCTGATTCAATCATATTAATTGATAATTGTGTTATCTTACTTCGTCAACAAACGAAAAAAAAACGAATCCAATTCGTATACAAATGTAAAACGATCGATGTGTACATCTAGAACTTGATTATAAAAAATTTTGTAATAATTTCTCCTTATTTTTTATAATTGAATTGGATTGATTTCAGGAATGAAACGTGTTAAAAAAAATGTTATGAAAATAGAATTAAATCAGCTGTTTTAAAGAGGGTTTGTAAAACGACTAAACAAAACAAAACAACGATTGTGATCAGTGAATTTATTTATTCAAAGACGAGCCAAAAAAACAAAATCCGAATAAACAAAAACAGAACATTCTTTAATTTGTGTGTTTGTTTTTGTTTTTCATTCCAAACAATTGTTTGACTTTGTCATTAGTCTTATTTTTTCTTTTAACCTCCACATCGTGTATGTGTGACACGTGTTTAAAACAAAGTGTGAAAATAAAATGGATTTTTTTTTAAAAAAAGTTTTCTTCTAATTGAAATTTTTATTTCTAAGAAAAACGGATTAAAAATTTGAAAGTAATCTTTTAAAAAAAATGTTGGAAAGTTTTGCTGCCTGGATTCTAAACACCTATATTGGTGATTATTTTGGAAATGTCAATACACATCAGCTTCGTATGTCATTGAAAAATGGTATGGGTTTTTTTTTCTTGATAACCTAGATGATTTATGATGATGATTTTTTTTTCAATTTCCGTATTTCAATTTATTTTGTCATCCTTTTCCCCCACCTCACAAAAAAATTTAGGCGAAATTGAACTCGAACATCTTCCATTAAAACGTGATCTAATAAGATATCTAGGTTTACCATTGGAAGCAAATACTGGTTGGTTGTTTGATTTTTCTCTTCTATTTCACAGTATTTCAATTTAAAACTTTTTTTTTCTTCTCAAATTCAAATTAAAAATGCAAAGGTTTTATTGGAAAAATTTCGATAAAATTTCCAAGCTGGAGTTCATTTACATCCGAACCATTAGTTATTACTATTGAAGATTTATTTCTGATTGTAAAGCCGATTACAAATTTTTCAGTATGTTTTTTTACCCTTTTACTTTTTATTTTCCGATTTCTAATCAACTAATTATAAATGTTTCGTTTTTTTCTGTAAAAAAAACTATATAAATAAATAAAGTATAATGAAGAAGAGGAAAAACGTTCACAACAAGAATTTAAAATATCACAATTAGATATGATGGAACAACGTTGGAAAGCATTACATGATGATGATCTAACTGAACCAAATTCATATTATTCATCATCATATTCATCATGGCTTAATTATGGTTCATCATTAATTAATAATGTTTTAATGAATATTCATTTAAAAATATCATCAATACATATACGTTATGAAGATTATTCAACAATATCTGGTTGTACATTTGCAACCGGTATTGTTATACGTAGTTTAACAATTTGTTCAACAGATGAAAATTGGCAACCAAAATTTGTTACTGGACAAAATTTTAATAATGATAATAATTTTCTATTCAAATTAATTGATCTTGAATCATTTGCCTGTTATTTTGATGTAGAAACATTATTATTTAGTGAATTTGATTTTGATATTATGGTTGATTATATGCGAAAAACATTAGATCGAAATTTAAATCATAAAAATATTGAAACTGAACATGATTATATGATTGCACCGGTTAATGGAAAATGTTATCTAAAAAGAAATTGTTCAGAAATGTCATTGAAATCATGTAAACAACCAAGAACTGTAATTGATGTACAATTAGAATGTGTACCAATTATGATGACAGCTATACAATATAAACATCTATTAGATTGGAGTATTGCATTTCAAACACATAAAACATTATGGCGTTATCGTAAATGGCGACCAATGATTAATACAATACAGAAAAAATCTGATGAACAACAACAAGATAATGATGATGATGATGAAGATGTCGAAGACGAAGAAATTTCAATTCGTTATGAATTTAAACCGAAAACATGGTGGCATTTTGCAGTGAACGCAAATCTTGAAGATTATCGTCAAAGACGACAACGTTTTAATTGGCATTTTATTCTTCAACGTGCACGTGATATTGTTGGCTATCATAATGCCTATTTATGTTATCTAATCTATCCGGAATCATTTTCACGTGATTTACGTTGTTTAAAAGAACGTGTTGAAAATGAATTTACATTAGATGAATTATGTTCAATTCGTGAAATTGTATTCTGGCGTGCCAATCAAATTCTAAAAAAACAATTGAATCCTACACAAGATCATAATGAAAATAAAACGATAACAGAACAAACACAAACATCTAGTGGTTATTGGTTTTTACCATTTAATGTTTTATCAAATCTTTACTATAGTAATTATAGTTCAAATGATACGGATCAAAAATCATCTACAAATGCCAATGAAGAATCTGAACAACAAAATAATGATTTTCATTCGGATAAACATTCTAATCCACCACTAACATCATCATCATTAAATCTATCATCAACAATAACTGAAGATATATTTATAACACGTGATGCTATTTATTGTCAATTTAATTTTCAGATACATAATTCATCATTTCAATTGATGGCATTCAATAATCTTACAACAACAACAACAACGACAACAGATCGAACAGATATTTCAGAATCACCAGATGAACAAAATTCACAATCTTTTTATCAAAATAAACAACAACAACAACAACAAGGAAATTTAATATTAGAATTTGAATTTAATCAGATGAAAATCGGTATCGATATTACAAATCCAAATGCTTATGCTTGTAGTTGTCATAATCGTGATTATAATAATGGTAATCATAATTGTAATGGAAAACAACTTATTCTTGCAGTAACTGATCATCAACAACAACAACCGAAAAATATTTATCTAACACAAAATGAATTAAATCAATTACAATTAGATCTGAATTTTGAATGTCAAAATTTAAATCTAACATTATTACGTACGGATGATAGTATATCGACAATAATAACGGAAAATTCAAATTCAATGCAAAAATTAGCAACAGCTATATTTATTGGTTGTGGTTGGCAATTTCGTTTTAGTTCAGATATGTTATCTATTGATGGACGTATGGATTCATTAGAATTATTAGATCTTATAACAGCACCTAACGTTAATCGTCATCGTCGTGTATTATCAATTGGAAAAACTATCGATGATAATGATAATGATTCAACAATAATTAGTAATAATAGTGAAGCAGAAACAACAACATCAATTCCAGTTGAAAAAGCATTAATGTTTTCATTATCAAGACATATGAATGAAAATATTCTTCGTTTGAATATTGAAATGGCATCATTTTGTTATGTACATTCAAGTATATTGGTATATGAACTTTCATTATGTAGAAAATGTTTTAGTGATGTACTTGAAGCATATTTTTCACGTGCATTTAAAGAACGTTTTCGTGCTGCAACTACTGAAGTTTTACGTGGAATAGTACCCGATACTACTGCTACTGCTGATTCGATGGCCGAACAATTGAATGATGTTCAATCGACAACATCACCAACACCGCCACCAACATCGATACGAACAATATCATCATCATCGAAATTATCATTATTTAAAATGCAAACAAAATCTACAAATCGTAAAACAAAATTAAAATCCAAAAATCAATCAATGGCAAATCCATTTGTTGATAATTTTAAATTGAATGTTTTTATTCGTTCACCGGTTATAATATGTCCAATTTCACCATCAAGTCATGAAGTTGTTGTATTTCATCTTGGTCATATGTTACTTAATAATCATAATCATTCGACCGATATAATACGTTCGGTTGGTCGTGAAATGATTGTTTGGAAACCGGCAAAACAAAGGCAACGAAAATTCGGTACAGCCGGTAATCAATTACCATTATTAACATCATCACAAAATTCATCATCATCATCAGCAACAACAACAACAACAACATCAAGTTCAAATAATTCATATAATGCTGAAATTCGTGATCTAAGTGTATATTCATTGGATTGTTCAAAAAATATTGAAAAATTTGCTCAACATTCATCATCGAATCGATCGAATGATTCAAAAATTCGACAACCTGAACTTACTATACCTGTGGATAAACTTTATTACTGTGATATGTTTGGTGTACCAATTCTACAAAAAACTGTTATCGAAATTGTACTTGAACGTAAAATTCTTTTTTCATCGATGAATGATTCTATGACATCGTCAACAACAACAACAACAACATCATCATCATCATTTGTAACCACTAATGCTACTGGTAAAAAATCATCCGATTCTGTCAATATAGTTGATGGACTTAATCTAATAAGTTCGGTTAATAGTATTGATCCATTAGTATTACCGAAAAAATTTTCCATTCGTCAACATTTTTGTTCCGATCAATTGCCCGCATTTTCAAATGATTTAGGTGTACGACATAAAAATAGTAAAAATATGTCTACAGCAAAACCAGAAATGGTTCTTTCCATTGAAATTTCCGCCATTGATGTACGATTTTCCTATACAGATTTATTAGTTTTCTGGCATATTCTTAATACATTAACTTCGATTGAACAGCCAATATCATCGATTCATTCATCGACATTAGATCAGAATAATTCTAGTTTGAATACAACAGTAAAACCAAATTATAATGATGATAATGATGATGAAATGATGGAAATGTTACAGCAAATAACATTATCTAGTTCAGGATTGAATGCTGAAGAATTTCGAAGTCGATTAAACAATTTAATTGATTTGGGTTTTAATCCACGTGAAAGTCTTCGTGCTTTAGCCTTAAAAAATGGTGATATTATTGAAGCAGCTTATATGCTTTCAAGTCCAACAACAACAACAACAACAAATGATGAACAAAATCGTGATGATCAAATAAATCAAAATTCTGATACAGATAATCATTCACAATGTACATCGGATGTATCGGCTGCTACAACCACTGATGTAGCAATGATAAATTCTACAAATATTATAACTTTACAAAATGATATCAATAAAAATGATAATAGAAGAAAAAATCCAAATCGATCAAGATCATCAAATTTATTATTATCAATATTATCGGTGATTGAAGTAAAAATTTCCAATGGTTCTATTCGAATTATTGATGATTGTAATCAACTTGATTTACCATTACTTGAATTAGGTGTTACCGATTTTCGTTTAATGCAATATTATACTAGATCAATTGAAGCACATGCACAAACAAATTTTTATTGTGATTATTATAATTCACATTTATCCGGTTGGGAACCATTTATTGAAAATTGTCAGGTTGCATTTTCCTGGAAACATCATGAACCACGTTGTCATTTAAAATCAATGTTAAATACAGCAGCAATTGCATCAACTAATCGTATACCTGTTGCACGGCAAAAATTAGCAATCAAAATTGAGATAAGAAAAATGTTCAATATGAACATTTCACGTACATTATTAGATTTGATTGAAAAAGTTCATCGAGCATGGCGTCAAGATATTGAACATTTTATGTCATTACCATCGGATCGTCGTACATTTCGACATCGTCAACCATTCATACCGTTTGCATTGAAAAATGATACCGGTACTGATTTACATATGTATTTATCGAATTCAAGAAAAATGTTCTCCACAGAAAAAGCAGCCGATCTTATTACACCTTGTGATCTTAAACCGATTCTTGATGTTCAGGCTGATCATATTGTTTATTTTGATTGTGTTGATCTATTACAATCATCATCATCATCATCGAAACAAAATTCCAGTCATAAACATCGACAGAATTTATTACCAACACGATCATTATCATCATCAACGGCAACTATTTCACAATTGAAAATCTTTGTAAAAGTTGATGGTTGGCAGGAAACATTTCCATTATCTATTGAACGGGAAGGAACATTCATACGACATGTCATATCGGAACGATATACAAATCAATCGGCTATATTAGTGTTTGAAATTCAATTACAATCGACAGCAATTAAATTGATTACTGTTCGATCATCATTATTGATTACTAATCGTACAACCAAAATGGTTGAATTAAAATTTGTCAATACAGCAATGTCTGATGTACGTACATCATATATGATTGCACCACATGGAATATTTCCTGTTCCATTAGATTTGTTATATGCAAGAATTCAATTAAGACCATGTGATCTTGGTATTGGTACCTGTTCAACATATGTAAATTGGAATCATGTACGAAAATTTGGTGAATTAGATTGTTCATTACAGATTTGTACACCAATCACTCATACACAACATGGATCATATTCAAAATCACAAGCATATGTTGTATCCGTATTAGTTGAACGTAATTCTATTGGTGCATTAATTGAATCAAGAAATATTTTTCGTCAATCAAATCAATCATCGAATGCTAGTATGATGATGATGCCAAAAATTTCACCATTAGTTACATTACCATCACATACAATAACATTATTACCACCATTACAATTGGCTAATCGTCTTCCATATGAATTACGATTTAAAATTATTAATAATCCAAATTCAAATGGACAATCATTATCTTCATCAACATCTAGTCAATTATTATCATCATCAACTGGAACAATAAAATCTGGTGATGATTATTCTGTACATTATATTTCACCATTAGAATCATTCAGTATTGAATTTCAAATGGAACATTTTCCTCGATGTCGACCATTACATATTGAACCGGGTGCTATAAAAAATTTCGAAACTCATATCGATATGTATGATGCTCGTAATCGTTTATTAATACTTAATGCACATATAGCCGTACAAACTGGTTGTCCAAAACCATCGAATGCAATGACTATAACTATTTATGCACCATATTGGATTGTTAATCGTAGTGGTTTACCGCTTGTTTTTGCACAAGATGGTGGTACAAATCAAATTGCTGAGGCTGCCGGTCAATATGAAGAACATGAACGTGCACGATCAATATCACCGTTATTGTTTAGTTTTGCCGATCCAGATTCATCACATTATTGTATAATGCGTTTAGGACGAATGTTACCACATATGTCACCACGTTGGTGTAATCTATTCTGTCTTGAAAAGGGTACATTTTATCGTCGTTTAAGAGTTACTGAATATTCACAACAGGATAGTATACCACAGGAAAAAATCTATGAATTTGGTATAGATATTCGACAAGGTCGTGATCGTTATAATCAAACAAAAATCGTTACTATTGCACCAAGATTTCAGATTGAAAATTTAACAAGTTTTAAATTAGAATTTGCACAAAAATGTTTTGTCCAACCGTCGTCAGATGTTTCGGGTCAATCATTATATGGAAATAATTTTGATCAAACAAATACATTTTCACCATCATTAATGTCAAGTCCAATCAAAAGTGGTACAAATAGTCATCGAAATTCTTTTAGTCGTCGTTTAAGTACACAAAGTAATAATGAATCAGTGGAAAAATCACAGATAATTTCAGCATTACCTAAATCAAATATGCCATTCCATTGGCCAGCAACGGATCGACCAAAATTATTATGCGTACGAATAGCATCATTAATTGGTTGTTTATGGTCCGGTTGTTTTGATGTTGGTTCAGAACCATCGGTTTCATTTCAGCTAAATATTCGTGATGATTCGGGACGATCAAATTTTATACGTGTAGAAATTTTATTACAAAATGCAACATATTTTATTGTATTTACTGATGCAAATAGTTTACCACCACCAATTCGTGTGGAAAATTTTTCACAAGTGGCTATAGAATTTTATCAAATTGGTTGTTCATATCATCGTACAATTGTACGGCCAAATTCATCCGTACCATATGCATTGGATGAACCAACACAGCCACCACATTTAACTGTTTGTGCACCGGGTGGTTCATCATCAACATATGATCTTAATTCATTTGCACCGGGCAATACATTAACCTATGATAATTTCTATTATTTAGCATTTGAAGAAACATTTACATCAGCAACAACAAATGTTGGTGTACCATTTACTGGTTATTATATGGATGATGATACTGAACAATTAATGTATATGATGATGGCTGGACCGGATTTATCATTTGTTGAACATGATGTTGGTTCAAAAATGCTTGTGTTAGATGTACCTGATTATGATCTATCAAATTGTCCAATACCGGATACATATCAAATTGGTATTGAAAATGATCGACCAAAACCAGTGTTTCTTGGCCGAAAAGAACGAGCTAAACGAAGTCAATTATGGCGTCTAGATCAACTTAATCATTTGATTCATGAAGGATCATCACCACCATCCGAACCACCAGGATTTCAAGATTTAGGTTTTGCTGAAGTAAAATTTCCAACAACAATTTCTTCATCAACATTAATGGTTTTAGATGTAATGGATGATGAAATTGATAATCTAATATCGAATGCAGCTTTTATTTCGATACCATTAGCTGTTCGTAAATTAAATCCACAACGTTCATCAACACAAACATGGCATTTTACTGAAGATGGTCGTTTACGATGTTTAAAATATTGGAATATGTTTGTTCAACCTGTTGTTACAAATACATCGACCATATTAAACGATATATTTCAAACCGGTACAATGGCTGTAATAGCATTAGGGCCAACTGAATCAATGATTAAAACTGTTATTCCACGACAACAAGCAATGATTAAACAAAAAATGCGAAAAGGATCTGGTGTTTTGAATGTATCGATATTGGCCGATGGTCCTAGTCGAGTATTACGTATTAAAGATAATCAATTGACAGCAAATGGTCGACAATTAAATTTAGTACCATTTAATCGTTCAGATAATTCAAATAATAGTAATGGTGGTGGTGGTGGTGGTACATTTGGTACAGCACAACTTAATGAATTATTAACAAATACAATGGCCGAACAAAGTTTTCTAATACGTTTGCTGAATAAAACTGAATTAGAATTACAGTTACAGATTGATTCGGTTGGCATATCGATTATATCAAAAATGAATGAAGAAATTATATTTTTATTTATGAAAAAAATTATATTAGAATTACTATGTAATCCGGCTGAATGTCGTTTAAATTGTGTTGTCGAAGATTTTCAGGTTTGTTTTGTTTTTTACTATTTATAAATAAGTTTTGATTATTCTGATTGATTGATTGATTGATAGGTCGACAATCAACTATTTGATTCGGAAAAAGAAGTTGTATTATATGTGACAAATCTGGATAATCAACAACAACAACAACAGCAATCAGATCAGGAACAACAACAATCATCACGTTCAATATCGATTACAACGACAGCAGGACAACAACGTAACAACAATATAGCTGAACGTCCAGCAATAACATTTAATTTACATAAATTATTTATACCGAATGTTGAGATTAATGTTTTTAAGGTATGTTTGTCTTTGTATGTGTCTTTCGTGTCTAATATATTATCTGTTGAATTTCTTTTTTTTTTCTTTCCAAAAATAAAAATTCAAACAGAGTCTACAGATTAGCATAAATGATTTGGTGTTGAATATTGAAGAATTAGTTTTATTAAAATTATTGGAATTCATTCAATATGATCCAGTTGATTCGGAAATGGATGAAATTAGTTCATCAACATCGATTATAAATAATGGATCGGCAGCTGCAATTGCTGCTGCTGCTACTGCTCATTCAACAGCAACAAATCCATCATTATTATATCATACATCTGGAAATGTTGTATCCAGTTCATTATCACGTTCGGCACAATATTTTTTTGCCTTTTTATTGATACAACTTCGTCGTGTAAAACTATCGGTATTTACATCAACATCTACTATTGGTCATTGTCTTAATGAATTGAAAAAGAAAGCTGGCATAAAATTGATACGATTCGAAGAAGCATTAATACAATTGAAACCATTTCATAAAGTTTATAGTTTAATGACTAGACGTTTTTTACAGGATTCAATACATGAACATTATCGAAGTGAATTACGAAGTCAAGCAGCAAAAATTCTTGGAACAGTAGATTTTCTGGGCAATCCTGTTGGTTTTATCAATAATGTTATTGAAGGTTTAAATGAATTCTATTCGGATGGTAGTATTCGTGGATTGATTATGAATGTTACGCATGGAATATCGGATTCAACGGCTAAAGTTACATCGGTTTTATCCGAATCATTGGGATTTGTTACGATGGATGATCGACATCAAGAAATTCGTAGAAAAATTAAACAACAAACCGGTGGTATTGGTGGTCAACGATCACATTTAGTTGTCGGTGCATTCGGTTTAGCACATGGTATTCTAGGTGGTATTACATCGGTAATAACACAAACCTATGATGGTATCGTTAATCATGGAGGTGTAACTGGTTTTTTATCCGGTTTAAGTAAAGGTGTTCTTGGTACATTTACTAAACCAGCTGTTGGAATGTTAGATTTTGCTTCGGGTGCTGCTACAGCTGTACGTGATTCAAGTCGTAAAGCATGTTTCGGTATAAATGGTAGACAAGTAAGACGTGTACGTTTACCACGTACATTAACTATTGATGGTCGATTAACAAGATATCAATCACAACAATCACAATGGCAATCAAGATTTTATAATACAACTGATTTTGGTACACAACGTGAATATGGTGAACAATTTGTACATGTATTTCCATTATCGGATCGTCATTTTGTTTTATTAACAACTGAACGGCTTTATTTTTTTCATGCACCAATACGTAAATGTCAATTACCATCAGAAGAAGTATGGGATGATGGTAATGATGATGGTGAATTTCGTAATCAACAAGATTTAATTTTAATGAATTGTCCAATACAACAGCTACAAATATTACCATTAGATTCATTTTATGAATGTAATCATCATCGTATGATGTTACATGATGGTGAATTTTTTCTTAAAACACAGTCTTGTTGTACAGATTTAACATCGATGATTGGAACACAATTAGAATTGGATCATTTAAATGAATCATTATCATCATCATCATCAACAACAACCACAACAACAAAAACGGCAATCATTTGTCATTTTATTGAATTTCGTCAAACACCAACAAAATCAATGTCGAATCGTATGTCACCTGTACATGGTATTCCACAACAACAACAATCAACATCACAATCTTCTTCTGTACGACGAAATTCTAATCAAGAAGATTATTATTTTCATAAAAGACAAAATTTTGAATATCCATCACATATAAATCCATGCTATGTTTATTGTGATTCACCACAAATGTTACAACGTATTATACAACTTGTTGATGAAGCTAAACATTTACAAGAGGAACGAAAATTTGAAGTATCAAATCTTCGGATCTAGATTTCAAAGAAAGAGAAGATGAATTTTTTTCCCTTAATTAACAATTTATGTTTAAATCTGAAAAAATTTATTTTTATTTTTTTTTTGTTCCTCACTTACCAATTATTAGTTATTTCTTGCTTTTGTTTGTTTGTTTGTTAATTTCATGTTTTAGAGAGAATATATGGAACCATATCATTTCATTTTTTGTTGTTGTTAATGGTTTGATGTCTTCAATCATTATCATTATTGTTTCATTAATATTTATTAGAATTTTTTTTTCATTGAGAAAACAAAGAAAAACATTAAATAAATGAAAAATTTCAGAAGTAAACTTACAGTAAATGTTTGTCGCGGGTAAAAGTTGAAAAATTTTCATTTTTCCTGTTTTGTTTTTTCTCTTCCGTTTGTTGTTTTTTTTTGCACTGTCAACAATGGAATTTTCAATGGTTCACCATCATCATCATTCATCAAGTTATCTTTTTTTTCGTTGTTGTTGAAAATTGTTGATGATCTGATTCGAGGCCATCATACACACAAACACACACAGGTGTCACATTTACATTCGAATCGAATCTTTTTTTTTCATTCGAATCATTATCATCATCATCATCATCATCATCATCATAATGGATCCATTCAAAAATGATGTAAAAGGTGATGATAATCATCATCATCATTCATTATCTTTCCTTCTTTATTCAAACCGAAACAGGTGAAAAGAAACTGATTTATTCAAAAAAAAAAAAAAGTTTGTGGCTATGTAATTTTTCATCATGATGATTATGGATGATGATAATGATGAACCACAATGAAACAAAATTGTAGGTGTGGTGTTTGTTTGTTTGTTTGCTCAAATATCGGATATTATCATTTCCGTTAAATTTAAGCATCAATTTTGTTGTTGTTTATCGATCTTTTTTGATTGATATAAGATTAGATTGATGTTTTTTTTTCGATACAATGATTAATGGGATGTATTTTGGGCGTAATAATGACGATGATGATGATGATGATCAATATTGATCAATTCGATCCAGATTAGTATGGAAAAAAACGATTCGAATCGGCTATTTTTATCCATCTCTGAGTGTATTGTGGATCTCGTTGTTGTTGTTGTACATCCTTTACCACCACCACAACTTTTTCTTTTTGAAGATTTTCATTTTCATTTATTTATTTTAAATTTAGCATCGCGTTTTTTTTAAATAAATAAAAAAAAAGATAAAGAAATTTGTTCCAAATATGGAACATTAATGATGTGATTATATCATTAAATTCAATTTGCAATTTCAATTTATCTTTACTTTCCTCTTCTCTTTCAATCTGTTGAATAAATTGAAAGTTATTTGAATTGAATATATATAGTTCCGCGATTACTGATATAGAAAATTAATTTTTTTTCTTTAAAAAATGCTTATCATAAAATTTGCGGTAGGGCAAAAAAATCTTTTCATTTTCAATCAATCATCCAAAAAATCATTAGATCATCAGTTGTTTTTTTTAGTCATTACCGGTGATGATATATATGATCTTTTGATCGATTAGTTTTCCATCGATTGTTGATGGTAAACAATCAATCGGTTTTTTGTTGTTGTTGTTGTTCAATTCTAAAAATAAATACGAAAACAATACAATCAATCAATCAATCAATCAGAAGAAGAAAAAACCCACGAATACGTTTTTTTTGCGTGATATATTATTATTGAATCGATCAAATGATGTTAATTCTGTCGACAACCTGTTGATCATTAAGAGAAAAAAAAACTTTGTCCTCGACCAGAACAGATGAAGAAAAAAAAACAATAAATTCACCACCAATGATTGATGAATTTTGAACATTTCCGAAAAAACAAAAATTAACCTTTTCTTTTTTTTGCATAAAATTCGTAAATCCAGGTAATAATCCAGATTTTTTTAAAAAAAAAACTGCTACAACAATTGATGGATCCTGATAAGAAATAGCAGCATATTTTTTTTTTGTTGCTGTGGATATCTCTCACTATAATCTATGCTACTATAACAATTTTAGGCGCCAATCTTTTACTTACCACTATGTTTAGGATTCACCACTACCACCAAATTTTTTCTTTCCAGTTCAGTGTATCCATGTGCGATGGACATCAACAATCCATCCAATTCATTCATTCATTCATATGATTAACATTGGAATGGACGTTTACTATTCGATTTATGCGCGCGTCGTTTGTTAACACTCCATTTGATTTTGTTTTTTTCTGCTTCTTTAAAATTAATTCCTTTAACATTTTCATTTTGATTATTACGTCATTCAATAATCTCTCTACTCACATATGATTACGCATCTTGGACCACAACACGTCGTCATTAACACAAAAACACAAACATATCATCACAACAAAAACAACAACAAAATTCATTCCATTGGTTTTTTTGTTTTGTTTTGTTTGTTCGATCCATTTGCTGGATCAAGTGTTTTTTATTTGTTTTCATTTTTGGTTGTTTGGGTTCCTAAATTTGTTGTCAAGTAAATTTTCACTCCTTTTTTTTCTTCTTGGTTGTTATTCCAACAAAAAAAAAATTCGGTGCTTTTTTTTGAAAATCTTTGTTTGTTCGTTGTGCAATTAATGCTGTGATTTTTCTTCTGTATGATATTACTTCTGGTGTCTTTTTTTTCGTCTTCTTCTTCTTCTTTTTGACAAAATATTTCCAACATTTTCCATTGATCTCATCATGAATTTTTTTCCGTAAGTTTTTCAATTTTTTTGTACAAACAAAAAAAAAATCAATGTTTATGTTTCTGGTTATTATTAATTATGATTTTAAATAATTTTTTTGTATTTACATTTAAAAAAAATGTATCGTGATTATTATCATCATCATGACGATGGCCTCAAATGATAATTTTTTTTTTGTTGTTGTTGAGTAAGTGTGTGTGTGTGCGGTAAATTTGCTAAGACAACAAATGATGATGATAATCATTTTTTTTCAAAGAATAAGATCATATTGAATATATAACCATTCAGTTAATATATGTTTTTTGTTTTGTTTTTGGTGACCTCGACAAATCATCATATTTTTATAATTGCGAAATGAATGTGGATGTGTATGGTTGGTTTCTTGTTTTATATCTTAGATACACACACACAAACATTCATATATTATCCATGAAATTTTGTTTTTTTACTTACATCGTCAGGTCGTTAGTTTTGTGAATTTGTTTATATCTATGTTTGTGTCGACAATCATCATCATAATAATAATATCGTCGTTGTAGAAATGGAAAAAAATGGATTGTCTTTTTTTTCTTCTCTTGAACTTGGATGTTGTTGTTGTTGTTGTTGTTGATGATGATGATAATTTGAACATTGCATGCAATCCATTCAACCATACCATATGAATGAATGAATGAATGAATGAGGCTTACAGGATTTGCATTTACCTTTTTTTTCTCTTCAACAATCATGATGATGATGATGATAATGACCAGATTCGAAATCGTTTCCTTTTTTCTTTTTCTAATGTTTTTTTTCGTTGTCGTTGTTGTTGTTGTTTGGTCAATGTTATGAATAAAAAAATTCCATAGTTATCATAATGATTATCAATCGTTATTTTTTCATATATATTGGTTGTGTGTGAAGAAATATGTATTTTTTTGTTGTTGTTGTTGTTGGTCTCTTCTTGTTTGGTTACCAATCATGCATGGCCATTTTCATTGAAATTCATTTTGTGTGTTGGATGATTATTCATTTGATTTATCATGACCATTCATTTCTATTCTTTATGGTCAATTTTCGTTTATGTTTTTCGTTCTCGTTTGCATTCATCGGTAGTAGGCTTCAACAATCATTATTTATCACGATTATAATATATAAAAAAAAATCGATGATGATGACCGAATTTTTTTTTCGTTACCATTATAATGATTAGATGATATCAATCAAAAACTATTTTAAATTCAAATCAATTCACAATGTTGTTGTTGATATTTTGTTTTCGAATTTTCAAACAAAAAAAAATATATTCGAAATCGATATTATCGATATTTTACAATCGATATATTTATCGAATAATAACTTTTTTTTCCTTCCGAATGCAACAATTTTTTTCTTCTTCTTCTTCGATGCTTTGTCTTTGATTGTTGATTCTTATAAAAGTTATGATATATTTTTTATGATTATTTTTCTTTCTTATTCAACAAAACAAAAAAAAACTTCACCACCTTTTTTTTCACCGATTGTTTTGGCGATATCTTTGTTTCGCCCATTTTTTTCCCGATTGTGATTTTAATCCCATCCATTCATTCAATGATTTTAGTCAAATTGTTTGACTTTTTTTTCTGTCGTTAAAACTTTAAAATACCATCACCGAACAAAAGTAAGGTCAAAATCATTGGAGAAAAAAAAGATGTTATATTTTAATATTATGTGATTTTCGAGCAAAAAAAAGGCCAAACATTAAAATATGAATTTTTAAATTTTTTTTTTTAATGTTAAAACCCCTATTTTGACCTAATTAATGATTTTATGTGGTTACAGGACAGGAAAAAAATCAAAAGAGATTGTGTCGATTTGTATAACCTAGATTAGTGTTTGTTTTAATATTTGAATTGTGTTGAAATGGATGATTCTTCCAATTTTTTTGTTCGTTCGTTTTTGATATTCAATTTATAATGAATATATTTAAAAATGAAACTTGAAAGATTGAAAATTTCCCGTAAAATTGTCCATGATAAATTGTGTATACGCACCTGTATCATATGTTTATTACTTTGGCTAGATATTGTTATTTGATGGTCATTTTTTCATTTGAATTTTGCACGAATTTTTTTTTGAAATATATGTGATGAATGTTCAAGGTTTCAATTCTGATTTTTTTTCTGATTCGCAATGATTTTTCATTATTCAAATTCAATGTTTTTTCGTTCGTTTGAAATGGAAATTATTATTATTTTTTTTGTTATTGGCCCTTTTTCGTGTGGCCATTGAAATTGTCGTATAGTTTTTATTGAATAAAAATCATATTGATGCGGTAGAGACAGTGGAAACGAACTTTGAAAAGAAATCATCGTTATATTTGAAAAAAAAATTTAAAAATAGAATTCAATTCAATCAAATGTTTTTGAATCACGGGATTTTATTTTATTTTCGTCATTTCATTTCATGTTGATGGTTGTGATGATGAGAAAAAATCCCGAAACAAAAGAAAAAATTTCCTATCCATAATCTTAATCGAAAATCTTGGTATTCAATTTTCAACTTTCGTTTCTTTCTTTTCAATCAGGATTTTGTTGATCTTTTTGTATTTCAAATTAAGAAAATTCTAATTTATCTCGGTAATTATCGGTTTGCGAAAAAAAAACATCTTTTTTTTCTAATTTTGTATTGTACACCCACACGCACTTAATCTCTATCTTTCTTTCTGTTTTTCAATCAAATCCCAAAACTTTAATTTCACTTTACTTTACTTTTCAATCCATTTTAAAATGATGATGATGATTGTAATTTAACTATCATTCAGTTTCATTCCATTCATTTGATAAATGAATGTAATGTTAGATCGGAAGTTTGATGATGAAAGAAAGAAAGAAACTTCTTTGTGTTGTTGTTTTTGAATGCTTTTTTCTGTATCAAATGATGATGATAATGATACAATGTTTATATACAATTGACAATTGTTTGAAAATGAATTTCATTTGCCTGGTTTTTTTTGTTTTGTTTGTTTGGTCATTTACTTCCAGTCACCCATGTCACATTCACTCTGTTTTTTTTAGTTGAACCGTTTTGTTTGAAAAAAATCGATTAAATTTCATTTCTTTTTGATCCCCCCATCACCACCACTATGATATTTGATCAATCACATCTATCATTTGCATCATCAGATGGTTTCCGTATCTTTAGTTTTTCATTTTGTTTTTTTTTTTAAATTTAGATTTTATTTTCCGGGAAACTTTTCACTTTCTTTTTCTCCTTTAGGCGATTCATTTTATGACTATCATCACCTGACTATAGTGTCAATATGATTTGTAGTGGTGTCTACCTAATGTAACTCTTGATTTTTTTTCGGTTAAAAACAATTTTTTCATTTTCAAATGTCATCAACATTTTTGGAAAAATTGAAAAATGGTTATCGGTTGATAAAGAAAAAGGATCACGTGAGCATGTTGAATGGATGATGGTGATGGTTATTATCCAAATAATGATGTGACGGGGAACTATCATCATTTTTAAAAATAGAAATATGTTTTTGTTTTGAAGGTAAATTTCAAACAAATTCCTTTCTCCCGTGTTAATTATATATTTTTCTGTTTTAATTTTTTATTTTCCACACAAAAAAATCAAATTCAATCATTCATTTCAATCTGTATTTTGTTTGTGATCATCATTCTGTTTGAATGAATTTTTCGAAAAAAAAAGAATAATCGCTTCATCATCCAGCCATTGTTGATATGAGAAAAAAAAATGCTGAAGTTTCTACCCAAATGGAGTGTATGTATGTACATGGATCTATCTATCTAATAAAACGATTAGTATGAGTCATCATCATTATCATTGTGAAAAAAAATGTTCAGGTTGTTTAGCTGAAATGAATGAATGAATGAATGAATAAAACGACAATCAATTTTGATGATCGTCATGGTAGTACTGGAAAATCAAGATCATTAACCTATTGTCAGGTTTGTTGGTTGTTTAAAAGTTGGATTATCATCATCTTTATCCTAATTATGATTTTGTTTTTTTTTTAAAAAAAGGATGTTTGGGCGTTTTAAATCTCACATTTTGTTGTTGTTGTTTGAGTAGAATTTGTTCAAATGTTTTGTTTTTTTCTCTCTTTTGATAATCACCAGAAAATTGATTAATTATTTTGTTTATCGATTAAAATCAATAAATCAATCGATTGATCGATAATCATTAATCATAATTGAAACATTTTTTTGTAACCAGAAAATTATAATGATTGTTTGAATGCGAGAATTTGATTTTTCCCTTGAAAGGAAAAAATTGTCCAAAAAGTAATTAAACATTTGTTGTAGGTGTGTGTGTGTGAATGTTGTTTTCAATCAAAATCGATTTTCTTTTTTTTCTTTTGATTGAATAATGCTTGCGAAAATTCAGATCAATCATCATGTTGCAAAAAAATTCAAACTTGAAATGAATTTTAACCTGTTGTTTGCATACACACATTCATATAAGACGAATTTGTTTGATTTGGTTTTTTTTTCTGACCGAAAAAAAAGTTCATGTGAAAAAAAACTTTTCAACACACAATCTAATGATGATCATGATGATTGATTCACATCAGGATGATTTTTTGATACATTTCTGATTTTCTTATTCATGAGCTAACCTTTTTTCCTTGATTATTATCTAACCCATTGGCCAGAATCTTTTATTTACAAATGTTTGTATTATCAACCGTTTACAATTGATAGATTTTTCGTTTCTTTCTTTTCTTGAAAAAAATCAATAAATATTATTATGTCAAAAACGACACAAACTTACAACATTTTTTCAATCAAATTTCATCTGAAATTTAACTGTGAAAAAAAAACAAAAATATTGACAATTTCCTTTTGTTTTATGCCTGATAATAATGATGATAATGTGGGCGACCAACTTCCCAAACACCCACTCCCACACACACATAAACACACAGACGACATTAAAGTAAAATTCTGTCAATGAAATTATATCTGACTGTTTGTGTGTTTGATTTTTTTTGATTTCTTGTTTCGGCATCCGTTTTATGTAACGTTTTAATAAAATAAATGAAAAGAAAAATCGTCATTTTTTTTGATTTAGTTTTGTTCCTTTCAAATATCGACCTATTTTTGTTTCTCCCCCGAATACATGAACAAAATATCTTCAATTTCATAATTTTCTTTTAAATTTTCATTTCTATTTTGACAGATTTGCTGTTCAGAAAAAAGCATTTCTTATTTTCGTAATTGCAAAATAATAAAAAAAAACGATTTTCAATTAATCAATCGTGGTTAAAGGTGGTGGTGAATACATTGTTGATCAATAATAATAATAATAATGGGAACAATCATGTATCCTGAGCTTTATACAAAGGTAATTTTAAATAATACCATTTCTATTGATTGAAATGATTTTCTTCTTCTTTTTTTTCATTATTATTATTCTCTGTAAAATAAAGGGAACACGTGTTTGGATTAAACATCCTACCGATGTATGGCGATGTGCCAAGATAAAAGAAAATTTTGATAAAAATTCTGGTCAATTATTATTGATACCATATGATGTTGGTAATGATGATGAAGATTTAAAAGAACAAATCATACAGGTGAAAGATATTTTAAAAGATTTACCGCCATTAAGAAATCCAGATATTCTAATTGGTTCGAATGATTTAACATGTCTTTCATATTTACATGAACCATCAGTACTTTATAATCTAAGGATAAGATTTTTACAATATCAACAAATATATACTTGGTGTGGTATTGTATTGGTTGCCATTAATCCATTTACTGATCTCGAAATATATGGTGAAGATACAATACAAATGTATCATACAAATTTAGCCAATTTAGCACAAATGGATCCACATATTTATGCTGTTGCTGAAGATGCATTCACAAAATTAGAACGTAATAATATTAATCAATCGGTTATTGTTTCGGGTGAAAGTGGTGCAGGTAAAACAGTATCGGCAAAATTTGCAATGCGTTATTTTGCATCGATTGCCGGTTCAGATTCAAATATTGAAGCACGTGTATTGGCATCGAATCCAATTATGGAAGCAATTGGTAATGCTAAAACTGTTCGTAATGATAATTCATCAAGATTTGGTAAATATATACAAATATTATTTGATCGTCGTAATCGTCATATTATGGGTGGTAATATGCGTACATATTTATTGGAAAAATCACGTGTTACCTATCAAAGTTCGGGTGAAAGAAATTTTCATATATTTTATCAATTATGTACATATGCAAAACAAAATAAATTAGATCATCTTGGATTATCTGATCAACAATTTATTTATCTTGGTTCAAATGAACAATCACCTTATGATGATATGTCAAGATTTTTAGAGGCACTTGATACGCTTAGTTTTAGTGATAAACAACGTAACATATTGTTTACCGTGATAGCTGCCATATTACATGGCGGAAATATAATGTTTGGACGTGGACAAGATGATGAAAGCTGTACATTAGCTGATAAAAATTCATTACATTCATTGCAAACATTTTGTCGTCTTTTGGATTTGAATGAATCATCCACTTTGAAATGGTTGACTAGTCGTTTATTGAAAACCGGTGGCCGTGAAATAATAGCAACACCATTGAATGCACAAATGGCACAATATGGTTTGGAAGCGTTACTAAAATTTATCTATGAAAAATTATTTTTATGGATTGTTTCGATTATTAATCAATCGCTTGGACCAACACAATCAATTAATGAATATCAATTTATTGGTGTTTTAGATATTTATGGTTTTGAACATTTTGAAAATAATTCATTCGAACAATTTTGTATCAATTATGCTAATGAAGTATTACAACAACAATTCAATTGGCATGTATTTAAATTGGAACAAGATGAATATGTACGTGAAGGTATTGATTGGCAATTCGTAACATTTACCGATAATCAACCGGTAATTGATTTAATTGAATCAAAACCAATCGGTATTTTATGTCTTTTGGATGAAGAATGTCGTATGCCACAAGGTAATGATCGTACATGGTGTTCAAAATTGTATAAACAAATACCAACCGGTGATGTTTTCAAAAAACCTAAATTCAATTTTCAAACATCATTCATTATTGAACATTTTGCCGATGTTGTAACATATAATGTTGATGGTTTTTTGGAAAAGAATCGTGATACAATATGGGAAGAACAGATTGATTTACTTAAACGTTCAAGCGTAGCTGAAAGCTTATTTTTGGATTATGATGATGATAAAATTGTATCAGCTCAATCAGCTAACAAAGGTGCTGGTGGTAAAATTCGTGTAAGCATGACACAAGCAGATCAACAACGACAAAAAAAGAAAGCTAAAGCAACAATTGGTTTTCAATTTCGTGAATCATTGGAGGCTTTGATGAATATTCTGAATTCAACTGAACCACATTATGTTCGTTGTATAAAACCGAATGATAATAAAGCGGCATTTGAATTTAATAATATTCGTGCTGTACAACAATTACGTGCATGTGGTGTACTTGAAACAATTCGTATCAGTTCGAATGGTTATCCATCACGATGGTCATATCAGGATTTCGCCAATCGTTATCGTGTATTACGTGTTGCCTGTCATACATCATCATCATCACCATCATCAGTAACACCTACTAAAAAGAAATCAACAGATTCAACGGTAGCAAAAAATGTTCCAAAGCCAACTCCAAGAAAATTGGTTCGTGCTGGTTCCAGTTTTGCCGTTGAAATTCGTTCCATTTGTGAAGATATAGTTCGAATTGTTTATGGTAGGTTTTCCTTTGAATTACATATTTTCAAATTTTGAATGTTTCAATTTTTTTTTCTCTTGTTGTTTTCATTGTACAGAGGATAAAATCTATTCACATTTCAATTTAAGTGATAGTTCTAGTGAAAAACAAAAATCAGAAGAACAACTACAAGCGGAAAGAAAAGTATATCAATTTGGTAAGACAAAAATATTCTTTCGACCTGGTCAGGTTGCATTGTTGGAGCGGATACGATCACAAAAACTTCGTGAATGTGCTATTCTTATACAGAAAATGATTCGCGGTTGGTTACAAAGAAAACGTTATCAACGTATACGAGAATCAGTGCTTGCAATACAACGATATGGCCGTGGTTGGCTTGCCCGTCAACATTATCAACATCTTCGCCAAACTAAAGCTGCCACTATTATTCAGAAACATTGGCGAGGATATGTTCAGCATTGTCGTTATCAAACAATACGTAAAAGTGTCATTGCTATACAAACAGTGGGTCGTGCTTATTTGGCTCGTAAACGTTATGAACAAATGCGCCAGAATCGTGCAGCAATTATCATACAACGATATTGGCGTGGTTATTGGGCGCAAAAACAATATCAAGAGACAAGAAAGAAGATTATTATAGCTCAAGCATGTGTAAGAAGATTTCTTGCCAAAAAAGAATATCGTCGATTACGAATCGAGGCTCGTAGTGTTGAACATGTTACGAATCTGAATAAAGGTCTTGAGAAAAAGATCATGACGTTACAACAACGTATCGACGAATTAGCAGAAGAAAATCGATTGCTGAAATTGACCGAAGGTCGTTATACTACCTTACGTCAGGAAATGGTTCAGATGGGAACGGAATTAGCTGAAATGAAAGCACAACAACGTCAAGATTATTTACAAGCACAAGATTATCAATCACAATTAGAGAAATTAACTACAGTAAATAAAGAATTGGAACAAAAAGTTATCAGGCTTGAAGAGACAAAATCTGAATTGGAAAAGAAAATTCGTGAAATCTTGGAGAATAAAAAACAAATGGCAGCAGATATTGAAAAAATCGATGAAGCAGTTCAACGCCGTGAACGTGAACTACGTGAAGAATTTGATCGTGAACGACGTATTTTAATTGCTGAACGTGAAGAGGAAAGAACGTCAAAACAGCAGCTGTTATTCAAATATATGGATCTTGAAGAGAAGCAAGATGCAACAGGTGAACATTCTGTCAATAAACGATCGGTGAATCATTTTGGTGATGAAGAAATCAATACAATTTTATTACAATCCGATCAACAAGAAATGTTCGATTCAAATCTTGATCGTATATCGATCATGATGCAATGTACCGAATTAGAACAAGAGATGAAAAAATTATTGAATGAAAATCAAAAACTTCGTGAACAAATTGCCAAAAATGTTGATGATAAAAGTCCAAATGCTGCCGCAACATTACTTTCGGAACAATTTCAAGAACTTCAAGATGAATTAGTACGTTATAAAAAAGAACGTTCCGATCTTAAACGAGTCATATTGATGGAAGATCATCTATCTACATTTGATGGTGAACAAAGCCAAAAAGAAAAACATCAAAAAGATCTAGTCGCTACCTATAAAGATTTGTTTGCCAGATTAGACAAAGAAATGGCACTTAAAGATGAACTAATAAAAAAATTAAAGTAAGTTTCGAATTAACATCTTTATGATGAATGCTAATTTTCTTTTTCTTTTTTTTTACCAAAAATATCTTTAGAAATGAAAATCTATTCTATAAATGTTCAAAATCAAATAAATCACATTCATTGATAGCACCGAATTCACAGATGAATGATGGACAAGGCAATCTATCGATACATTCACAATCCGATTATAGTGATACGGAAACGAAAAATTTACGTGGAATGTTTAAATTTCTTCTAAAAGATTGTGGCCTAATAAATCGTATTCTTTGTTATGGTATAAAAATTTTTCTCGACCTTATTTGAAACATTTGAATTATATTACTTTGCTTATAATACTCAAACACCCCGACAGACATATGCATTGTTTTAAAAAAATTTATTTTTGTTTTTTTGACTTTTCTAATTTTTTTAAATATCTTTTATTCCTCACCATTTTACCATTTTCGAAAGATTTTGATCCAACCAATATGAATTACGCAAGTCAATGTCATTCACATACGATTGCATTCATTGTTTATATGTGTCTTCGTTATGCCGATGATATTAATAATGAAAAAATGGTTAGATTTTTTTAAAACATAATTGATTTGAGTGTATGTTTCATTCGTTTATCTAATTTTTTTTAAATAGGCTAGTACATTTTTAATCGAATTTGTTCAATGGTTGAAGAAAAAAGCAAAATCAGCAGCAACTAATGGCCAGAATGAAATTCTTGTTCATTTATTATCAACAACATTTAAAATTTCTGTTTTGATTAAATATTATTCAGGTAATTATTTATCACCTTGTTCCTCACCCCTCAAGAAAAAAAGAATAATCTTTAAATTTTAATTTTTCATTGTAGAATATGAAGTTGAACCTGAAATAGCCAAGAAAATTGACCGTTCGAAAAGCCCATCTAAAATGGATAATATTGATTCAGGTTTTGATGACAAAGATCAAAAAGCTTTAAAATTAGTCAATGGTGAATCAAATGAAAGTTCATCCGAACATGGTGAAGAACCAGATGAAGCAATTGAACCGGATTATGATAGAGATTATGTTTATTCATTGAAAGAATTTGATCTAACAGAATTCAATATTCTCTTAAACAACCTAATGATCTATCTTTTCATGAGTATGTTTCATTTGAACTGAAATTTGAATCAAAAGTATTTTATAATTTTATTTTTTATAGGTAATTTCAAAATTTTTTCACATAAAATTCAACCATTAATTGTACCGGCTGTTCTGGAACATCAAGAATTATCTGGAATGTCATTGAGACAAAAGTAAGTTGTTCAATAAAATCTGTTTAATGTCTTATGTTTTAATTTATAACGTTTCGTGATTCTTAGACGAGAGGAAAATTCTGATCCAGATTCTGGTCCACCATCACCGACCGAACGTGAAATCCATACTTTATTCAAAGAGCTATCTAATATGCATGCATTGTTTCGTCTTCATCGTTTGGATGAAAATTTTATCTATCAATTTTTTAAACAGGTAAATCATTTGTTAAATATTTTCTAATTCGTTCATCACTTAATAATTTTATTGACATTGTATAGATATTCTATTTCATCGGAGCAACAGCATTAAATAATCTAATAATGCGTAAAGATCTATGTACAAATGAACGTGCCATTGAAATTATTTATAATATCTCATTATTTGAACAATTTTTACGTGAAAATAAAATTATAAAATGGGATAGTGTTAAAGCACAAATGGATCCAATATTACAGGCTACTAAGCTATTGATTTCAACTAAAACAGAAAAACAGATACCGGCCATAGTGTTGACAACCGAATCATTAACGTAAGTATTAATTCATTCATAATAGTTCTTGTTATTGAATTCATTATTTCATCACAATATAGAATGGCACAAATAATGAAAATAATCAAAATGTATACACCATCGGATGAGGAACAAATATCGACCAATTTTATTAAAAATCTTGAAGAAGAATTACATAAACGTAGGCAACAGCAACCACAACCACACGATCGTAAGTATAAATTGTTGTTGAAATTGATTGAAACTTAATAAATTTTTTTTCTTAATTTGATTCAAATAAATGTAGAACAAACCAAAGCACCATACCTGATGAAAACATCGTTAGATATTTCATTATACATTCCATACATTGATGGTAATAATGAAGATAATATTTCAATATTACAAGCAACCGATTTAACATGTGATTTTCAAAAATTTGATTTACCAATTTGTTTTCAACAATTGGAACGATATTTGGAAAAGATTTAATAATCGCAAATAATTACAAATAAGTTATATAACAACTCGAAAAAAATATGAGAGTTAGTCATTTCAATTTATCATTGCAATAATAATTATAATTATTATGTGTTATATATACGTTCAGCACTTCCATTTGTGTAATTTTTACAATGTTTTTAAATAAACCGTTTAAACACATTCATCCTGTTTTCGAGATTAAATTATTATCGTTGTTGTTGTTTTTAATTGTTGCTGTTGTTGTTGTTGTATGTGAAATTTCACATCTTTTCAAAAACAAAAATTATTGTACATGTTTCTATTAGATTGAATTGTTTATCTATTTTTGTAAATTTTAAAAAAATTATCATTTTAAAAGATTTAATTAAAAAGATTATTAAATAGAAATTTGTTTTTTATTTGAAATGGGATAAAATGTTGAAATTTGAGAAAAAAACTGGTTGCCATGACAACCTTAATGTTTGATTGTTTTGTTTTTTGGAAAATTCATGATTGAATCTTTAAAAATTCTGAACATTGAAGAATCTGTAAAAAATGGATCAAATCAAATATGTTATCGATGAATTAAATCAGCCACCATTTAATCAGAATTTAAATCTAATTTCTTATGATAACCTGCGTGAAGAACAACGTCTTGATCTTTTGATACAAATCCTAAATATTGTCGATCCAAAGGTAGGAAATGAGTTTGTCGTTTGTTTTAATTTTTAATGATAGCTAACATGATCATTGTATCACAGTTAAATTTACCATTCATTCGCGTTGGAAATATTGAAGATATTGTGGCCACCATTTTGGACACATTACGAATATTCAAATATTCGCCACCACCATCACATAGTAATCCGTGAGTATTGGACGAATTCCCGATCATAACAACAATAAATATAAATCTATTTTAGCGTTGAATTTCGTAAGAATCTTATCATGGCCGATAAAGATTTGATGACCAATATATTTGAATGGCTTTTGCGAAGACTTCCTTTGCTGAAAAAACGAGCATATCTTGCACATTTTCTTGTCAAAATTGAACTATCACCAGATGTTGAAGGTGATCCAGATGTAATGACATTATATCGACAATATTTAAATCTGATTGATGAATTTAAACGAATTCATAGTTCACATGAAATGCAAAAGAAATCTATTGATTCGATTATTGAGCTTCAAAAAGATATCAAAACAATGGAATTGGAAAAAGATCAAATTAAAAATAAATTGGACATTGTAAAACGTAGAGTAAATTTAGATATGATTGAAACGTCTAATTCATCGCAAAATATAAAATTTGAAGCCGTACGGGCTTATGTAATGGCACGTCATGAAAATGAAAAATTACAAAGACAATTACGTGAACAGCAGGAACGAATTACGATGGCTAAAAAACATCTGGAACAACAACAAACCGAATTGAATGAATTAAATGTACAAGATTGGCAAGAATCGATACAATCGCCTGAAGTGATGCTTTATCGATATAAGGATGAGATTGATATTAAATCTAAACTTGTAAAAGATGTACTGCCCAATGAATTGACTGATTTACGGTTACTTGTACGCGATATGGAACAGATACAACAACATGCAGATTCAAATATTACCGATCAATTACAGCGAACAGTCACACAGGTACAAGCTTTAACACAAGAAATCAATGAATTAGTAGAGAAAAAATTACTTGACAAACAAAATGAAGAAGATCGTCTTTCACATTATCGACAAAATGCTCAAGTTGTTGCCAGGAAAAAAGAAGAAACAATCAAACAATGTGAACAATTAGAACGAACATTGTCCATTCAACAAGCAGAATTGGAAGATTTGCGGGCAAAATTCTCTGTAGATGGAGAATCAGCGTTACGTGGTGATGCTGTAAGTTATGTTTGTTTGCTTATTTGATCAAAATAATCTTTTCATTTTTTTTAGCTTAAATTATATATTGAAAAAATATCTCGTCGTGAAACCGAAATGAATGAAATGAAAGATGAATTAAGTAGAATAAGTAGTGATATTGATGAATTACAATCGAAACTTCGATCATTACGACAACAGGAAAAAGAAACATTGGAAGAGATTCATGAAAATGAAGAAACATTAGGATTGGAAGGTTATTTTCAGATGAAAGAATCTACTCTTAATACATTGTATGAAGATGATAATGGTGATGGTATCGATGATAATGATCAAGAACAATTAGATTATGAAGAAATAAATAGACAAGTGGATAATTTTCAAGATCGATTGGAACATGTCAAATCATCTTTGGTTAATGTAACTAAAGAGATACGAATATTGAAAGAAGAACTGAATGAAGCCGAATCAGAATATGATATGAAAAAACGTCTTTATGATTCGGCAGCAGCCGGTTTAGAAGCCGAACTAAGTCGAAGCGAAGCTGAATTCGAAAGATTGATTGGTGAACGTGATGATCTAATTGGTGAACATTTTGAAATTGAAGCACGTTTGTTAGCAATTCAAATTGAACAAACAGAATTACTTGGATCTGTTGATAAAGCGGGACAAATAATCGAACAATTAAAAACCGAAATTGATTCGGAACAAAAATTACAAGAAAATCTTCGTCAACAGGAAACCGAATGGAAAGAAAAAGAACAATATTATAAAAAACAAATGGAAATGTGGCGCGATCTACGTGTAATATTCGAAATAAAATCACGTTTATTGACAAAAAAATTAGAGGAAAAAAATCAACAATCAAATTCAATGACAATGATTAAAGATCATTTAGTTCTAAATGATTGATTAGAAAATTTAACCAAAACAAAATTTATTAACAATAAACTATAAAACATAATAAACATTTATGATTGATCAATTTCTTTTCATTTTCGGACGACGATGAACAACTGTAAACAGATTCATTCTATTTTGAACGTTAGGATATTTTTCATCCGTTCTTTGAAAATCGATACATTGTTGACCAAGAAAGTATAGATAAAATAGAATAAAATGACCAAATGAATACATACAATTCAATAATGTATGAATGTGTGGATATTTTTCCGGAGCTGCAATAACTAATGATGCTAGGCTCAATAGAATAGCACCCATTATGGAAACTTTAAACAATTGTTGCATCGAAGATTTTGAATTTAAATTCATTGATTCATAATTGATTACAACGTAGATGATTGTCAATGCAAAATATGGTATGACTAGATTATCTTTTATCAATAATGGCAGTAAACTATATATATTGGGATATAAAAAAAACAAAATTAATTTGAAATAGGAATGGTAATTCAAAAAAAATCGATAATAAAAATTAGATCAGTTAAGTTAGTTATCAAATTGATTCAAGCCATATAAAACCAGAATCAATATGACCATCTTTTCGGTCAAAATAAAAATCAGTACCCCTGCGTTATCATCATTCGATAAAAGAATTCTAAAGGTTTTCTCTTCGTACATACCTAAATGTTGAAATCAATGAAAACCAGATGACCATAAATTTTGAACGATAAGTTAGTAAAAGTATTGCTCTATGATTATGATGTGGTTAATTCAATGATTAGAATTTGTTTAAATCACAAACGAATATACATACACATTGACAAACAAAATGCTTTTTTCATGAACTTGAAATGAAAACAAAAAGAATGCCATTGATACATTAAACTAAAAAAAATTAAGGAAAATTTTCAATTTTTTTTTCGCTATACATTGCCAATGATACTGACCAGAGAATATTTCAATTGTTTCATTGTATTTTGTCGAAATAATAAATAACAACTCGGTAATGAAAATAAAATTGTCAAAAATGCACTGAACGAATAAAAATTGAAATTTTTGAACGACAAATAAGAATTTTTTTTAATACAAACAAACCTAATCCAAGCTAATTGATATTCTTCGAAATAATTTTTGATCTTGATAAACACTGATAAACAGTACCAAAAATTTGCCACTTTATCTTCATATATTCCTCGATTTAATGGAAAAATTCGACGAAAAACTTGATTGGCTGTATTCAGATCACTCAAGTATGGTGACCATAAAATCATCATTGTAGCAATTACGGAAAATGAAATTGCTGTTAATTTAGCAAATGATCTTTGATTGAAACAACGTTTCAATAATAAGAAAAATATGGGCAATGAATAATACAAAGCCATTTGTTTATAATTGAATGATAGGCAAAAAAGAATTGATGCTAAAATATCTTGTCGTTTTATCAAACAAATTACGGCCCATAAAAACAGACCCAATGCAATGCAATTGTATTGGAAATGACCATGATCAATGAGTATTAAACTGGGTACGAATAGATGATGAAGAAAGTAATTGAATTGAAAATTTTGATCAAATAATTTCAATTCATAATAGTATAAGGCTGGGATTAAAATGACCAAATCGCTGATGAAAACTATTAAGAAAAGTTAAAAATTCAAAACAACAAAAAAAAACTTGAGACCTTGAGAAACCAGAACAAAAATGTACTAACCTGTTGATCGCATAAAAATTTTATGTTCATAGCTTTCAAATCCTCGTGATTCATTTAATTTAACCCATTCAGGATTAAAATAATTAGCGCTGCATTTTGAATTGTAAACGAAAAATATTTAAATCATACTTTTCTTTTGAAACAAATAAAAAAATAAAAATTACATTTTTCCCATCAACCAACTGTGATAAGCAGTTAATGGTGGGTAATCGAGACCCCAATAATTTAAATCATTTTCCGTTGAATTTGTATACCAATCTTTAACGGGAATATTAACCGTTATTTCCATCCAATGTCTTTGTGCTTCATAATCGCCAAACATTGGTGCAATTCTTTCGCCTGAATAAGAAAAAAATGTAACCATCCATCTTATTAACAAGGCAAATAAAATGGTGAAAAATGTTGTTCCATTCATATCTTGTTATTTGTTTTTGATGTTGTTGTTATTGTATATGAATCAATGAATAAAATGAATCATCGAATTAAATTGAGTATCAATTATGAACAAACAAAAATCCGATCGATTTACCCTAAATTCGAGTATTCGATGATGAGCCAAAATTCCCCTCTAAATTGATACACGTGTATAAGTATGAATGGAATTTGTGTGCTACCATCTAGGTACGGTATTTGTATCCAAAATCATAAGAAGAAATGCTCAATTATCATTCAGATGATTATAATTTCTTCAGAACATCGCGAATTCTTCACTGTGTGGCATCTATCAATATCATTATTAATTGAATGAATGAATTTTTTTAAAAATACAATTTCTTTAATTTGATTAACTTTATTTGATTTTTATCCTAATTCATCTGAATTCCTTTGTAATGAAAGATTATTATCGATAATCAAATGGTTGTTGAAACAAAAGAATAATAAAATAATTTGTTCAATGTTTTGATGGTTGTTGCCGCCAACATGTTTTTACTAAATTATCGAATTTTTTTCGCCTTGTATTTGTTGTGATTGTTTATTAATCAATGATTTGACCATTCTTATTATTAATTAACATTTTGAAAGTTTTCTTGATGCCTGATTCCGGTTCTTATCATTATCATCGAAAAATGAGTTCCGAAGATGAAAATTTCGATGAAAAAGCTCATCGAAGAATCATCGAAGCAAAAGTCAAAGCTCGTCCAGGTATGTTTTCCTTGTTTATATTCAAAATGTAAATTCATCATTTGATTAAAATCAACAGAGTTAGACATGTGCGGATGGACAAAATTCAATTATGCTGAAAAATTTGATCTGAATTATCGTCCAGATAATTGTGAACGAATCCAAATCGATCAAGTATCTCCGGAAGAATTTATTGCAAAATATGAAATGAAATATTATCCAGTAGTTATTACAGGTGTTTGTGATGATTGGAAAACGTCGGAAAAATGGAATCCCGAAGTAAGTGATTGAAAATTTTTTCCTAATTATTTCTAAAATTATTATTATATATCCAAATTTGACAGAGATTGGCGAAAAAATATCGAAATCAAAAATTCAAATGTGGTGAAGATAATGAAGGATATAGTGTTAAATTGAAAATGAAATATTTTGTTCATTATATGAAAAATAATAAAGATGATAGCCCATTATATATCTTTGATAGCACATTTGGTGAGGTAATTATAAAATTATTTTTAAAAATAAATTTTATTTCAAACTATTATCAAAATCAATTAATTATTGATAATTGGCAGCATCCACGTAAGAAAAAATTACTTGAAGATTATCAAGTGCCCGCTTATTTTCGTGATGATTTGTTTAAATATGCTGGTGAAGAGAAACGTCCACCATATCGTTGGTTTGTGATGGGTAGTGCTCGATCCGGTACCGGTATACATATTGATCCATTAGGTACAAGTGCCTGGAATACTTTGGTGATGGGCACAAAACGTTGGTGTCTATTTCCAACGAATACACCAAAAGAAATTATTAAAGTGCAACAGAATGAAGGTGGTAATCAAACCGATGAAGCAATCACATGGTTTTCTGTGATATATCCACGAACTCAAATGGATGATTGGCCAAAACAATTTAAACCAATTGAAATTATTCAGAAAGCAGGTGAAACTGTATTTGTGCCTTCGGGTTGGTGGCATGTTGTGCTCAATCTTGACAATACGATCGCCGTTACACAAAACTTTTGCAGTCTGACAAATTTTCCTATTGTATGGCATAAAACTGTACGCGGTCGACCTAAATTATCGGTAAAATGGCTTGATAGTTTAGCTAAACATTTACCAGAAATGGCTACAATAGCTCAACGTATCGATCTCAATCAACCGACTGGTGTTGCATCCGATAGTGAAGATAGTTCTAGTTCCAGTTCAGATTCCGAATGTTCGAATCCGGATTGTAGCTGTCGGAAATCATGCAATTCGGATAAAGATGATAACATTTGCGGTGATGTTAATGATAATGATGATGATTTACGTATTAGCACAACGAACAAATATAAACGGAAAAGGTAATTGAATCAATTAAACGATAATGTGCAATTCTGTATCTGTATTTTTTTCATATTTTCAAATAGATATCGATCGTCAAGTGTGTCAAGCAATGAGGATAATAGCAATAAATAACAAGATGACATCATTGTAAATCAATTAATTAATATTGATCATTAAGATTATCATGAAATAATTTAAGAAATTTACCAAATTTAGATTTGGTTATTACTACTTTTACGATCAAAAAATTTGCATCTTGAGGATCAGGTTTCATTTCAACGATGGCCGATGCTTCACGATACAACCATTGATATTGTTCACCACCATTAGCAACTCTTTTCATGTGTATAAGACAAAAAAAAATCATTATTTTTTAATTATTTCATAGATCCTTATTTATAAAATAAATATTTACCGTATTTCAAATGCCAATCGTTCGGTATTTTCAATTAGACTTTTTTGAATTTGTCGGGTTAGTTCATCTAAGCCGATTCTTTCGGTTGCCGATATGGCCAGGCCATCAATATCGATTGGATCGGATAATTTATCCACTTTATTCGATACCTCAATCATTGTTTGAAATAATTTTTCCGGTACTTCAATTTCTTTCAATGTTTGATGAACGGTTTCGATCTGTTGATGTCGATTTGGATGACTTGCATCAACAACATGAACAATCAGATTAGCCGTACAAATTTCACGTAATGTTGAACGAAAACAATGTACTAATGTTGTTGGTATTTCCGATATGAAACCAATCGTATCGATTAATAAGGCTTTCATTTTGGATGGTAATGTTATTGAATGAGTAGTGACATCCAATGTGGCAAATAGACGATCCTCTGGTTGTAGACTATTATCATGACTCAAAGCTTTGATCAATGATGTTTTACCCGAATTTGTGTAACCAACAACGGCTACTGTCGGTATCTCCAATGTTGTTCGATGTTTTCGTTTAACCTCGTAAGCAGTCGTTATCGATGAAAGAGCACGTTTCAAGCGAGATTCTCGTTCTTGAATTACCTGTTTCTTAATCTGATAAAATGTATCGAAATTTCCGCCAAAACTTTTCGACATTGAAAATTGACTAAAATCACATTCCTGCATATGGTGTAAATTTTTCTTTATATAATCCAATTCGGCTAATGCTAATTGTAACTTAGCTTCTTTTGTAGAACATCGTTCGCGAAATATTTTTAATACAGTTGAAAATCGATCATAGACCTGCATAGAATAAACGAGAACATCAATTTTTAATTGTAATTTTTTTGTAATTGTTTTTACTTGAACGTTGAGAAAATCTCGAAAGAAATGATGTTGTATCGGTCGTAAAACATCTATTGCAAAAACAACAGCATCGGCTGATTGATTTCGAACATAGTCTCTAATATGATCAAGATTTGTTGATCCAAAAATTTTTTCCGCATGGATTGCACTGGTCGATATCATCTGAGCACCGGCAACTTTCCAATATGGAATTGTTTTGACTAAAGTGACCGTTTCATCGAGTAATGCTTGACCACTTTCATGACTTCTAAAAAGAGCACCTCTTTTCATTCGAGGCATTATAACGACAACATTTTTTGGAGATAAATCCGCCAAAAGATTGTACTGAAATATTTCATTCAACAGGTCTTGATCATCATGATTTTGATCATTTGTTGTTGAATTATCCTGATGAATCGTTCGACATTGTATACGATGATTATAATCAGATGTTGATGCTAGAAAATATGAATTAAAAGCATTGTAGAAAATTTTCGAATTCAATCGACAAAATGAATATGATGAAAATAATGGGATCATAATAATTTCGTTAAACTGAAATTGGAACGAATTTTGAAAACAAACAGATGAAATAATCGATTATATCGAATCCAAAAATTCGATACTGGTTCATATTCGTTTGTCAAAAATATATTTCGAGACTGAAACTTCACATCAAACAGGTTTCATTGAAAATGCGGCAAAGAAAATGTTGTTATCATTTTGGCGTGATGATAACAAAATACATACATTATTTTTATCAATATGTATGCTTTGAACTTTGATTAAAAAAAACAAACATCACAAACAAAAATAATCACCATAATCATTTTCAAACATGTTGCCTGAAAAATTGGAACAACGATTCAATGATCTTGGTCTTGAAATCAATTATTTTAAGGTAGGTTTAAATTGAGTATTACCATCAAAATATTTTCAATGTTATTATGTAGATCGGTTGGTATAATGATGCAGTTAATACCGAATATCATCTCCCATATCCTAATGATACATTAGCATTTGTTGTCCTTTCAACTCCATCGTGGTTTGAAAAAGCATTTTTACCATTTTTGGCCAAAAATTTAGATCCATCTACAATAAATAACAGTGATGATCTAGATCAAAATCATGGTTGTCTTTCGATGAATTGTCGAGATCCCGTTGATCAATGTATGAGACATCATTTTGAAATATTAGCCAAGGTCAGTGGAGCTTTTAAAAATATTGATTTTAAAATTGAATATCAACACAAACATAGGAAATATCATCCACCTTGTGTACCGAAGTAGATAGTATTCATGATTTTGAGTTATTAATGCCATATCGTCGGCCACGTGTGCTTCTACAAACTGCTGCTCATATTTCCGGTGCAGCTTATTATTACCGATTGCCAAAACGTGAAAACATTGTACATAAACTTGGCGTTTGTGTACATCCTGAATATGGTGGTTGGTTCGGTTTACGCGGTGTATTCGTTCTCAAACAAATATTGGTTCCGGATTTGGTACGAAAACAACCGGTTAACGTCATACCTGACATTCAACAACAGGAAGCATTGCTCAAACTATTTAATGAACGTTGGCGTGATGGTAGCTATAGAGATTTTATACCGGTAAAATCTCGTTATAGTGAATTACAGTTTAAATATTTTACTCTTGAACCTCGTCAACGTTTTGAATTTATTCGTCAGGAAATTTTTCCAAAATTAAATGAATTAATTTCGGTAAATGATTTTCCGAATCAAGAACAATCAAATTTCCATTGAATAATTATGGATAATAAGTCGAAAAATGATATATCATTCAGGAAAATTAACAGAAAATACTCATATATAGATCTTAATTATTCCAAACGTAGAATACCTCCTTTGGATCCCAAAGAATTCCAAAAAAAAAAAAAATGTTTTTGAAACTTTTTGCTTTATTTTAAAGAAAAATAAACTATTTTTTTACTATGATTTTTCGATTGTTTGTTCACAGACTTTATTCAATTCAATTTATTAATTGATCAAACATCATTTTCATTTGAACAAATCGAAAAAACAAAAATCAAACTGATTGAAAAGAGAAAATTCAAAATAATCAGATTTATTCATTCAATCATTATGGATGTCAACCATTGAATATTTATGTTTCGATTTTTTTTTTTGGTTGGAAAAGGGAAAAAAATTGTCAATTTTTTCGGTGCAAACAAAATAATAATGAAAACAAACATACCCAGAAATGCTTTGTATGCAATAGTAATAAGTGCAACATTGATGAGAAGAAGAGAAAAAGAATTCAAGAATATCAAGAATAAAATTACAATGTAAATAATCAATACACACTTATAGTAGAATTGATTTGATGATGAGGATGATTTTGTTTCCAATCTTTGCTGAATTTAATTGGATTTTCAATCTTTTTCGATCATCATCATCATCAAATCATTTCGTACATTGTGTTCAATGTTTAAGAATGCATGGATCATTATCATATTGACAGAATTTTTGTTTTCTTTTGAATATTCATCATTATCATTTTGTTTCATTAAAATGATAGTAAATCCCTTAATTGATTCAGTCTCCAAGAAATTCTTTCAATTTTGTTCTTTTTATCCCAAAAAGATATATGATGAAAAGAAAATGAATGATTCTTGTTGTATTTTTAATGAAAATTATTTGGGATCAAAAGAAGAAACATTTCAAACATCATTTGAAATGAAACAAACTTGATTTGTCATAAACATTTGTTTATATTTTCTGTCAAAAAAAACAAACAATAATTAATTAATTGAATGATGAAAGGCGAGGTTAAGATTGATTGTTGAAACAAAATAATAATCATCAATAACCATCCAAAAAACAAAAAACAAAAACAATAATAAAATAAATAAAAAATAAAATGATGAAATTTTATTTATCCGAATAGCAATAATTTTAATAAAAATAAAAATAACAATCAAGTTAGTTATAATGACAATCAATTCTTGATGATGATGATGATAATGATGAGTTACAAGATGGAATCAAAATTCATATAACCAAAACATTACAATTGGCAATGATGATGATGACTTTTAATAAAATTATCGAATCATTTTGGTTGGTCGCGTTAAAACAATTCAAAATACACTCTTGGATCTTGGAATTTCTTTTTCTCTGATAATGTGAACTTTGATAGCAATGTTTATGTATAATATGTATAGAAAATATATATTTTTTATGAGAAAAGTTTGAAAGGAACAGAAAAAAAAAGATTTTTTGTTTTTTTTTAAATGTAAAATTTTACAAATAAAACAATCAATGATGATGATGATCAAAAATAGAATAAATTTGTTGTTAAAGTTGCAGTAGTTTGTTTATTTATAATAATAACAACAATTATAATTTTTTGGGAAAAAAAGTAATTTTTGTTTGTTTTGTTTTTATTTATTTATATAAGGCGATAAGTGTGTGTGTGTGTGCGGTTATAATGGATTCCCCGCGTTCATCAAATTTCCGGATTTGATAAAAAAATAGATTTTCTGTTTTGTCTTTCGGTTTTTGTTGATTTTTTAATACGATGTTGATGTTGTTGTTGATATATTATTCATTTCATAAATTAATAATTTAACTTTACCATTAACATTTTTAAGTAAATCAACAACATTATCATGTGATAATTTTGTAATATCAATATTATTAACAGCAAGTATAATATCACCTTCATTTAGACGACCATCTATTGATGTTGGACTATTTGGAAATATTTTCCGTATACAAATTGGTAGATTACCATGTATTGATCCATAACCACCAACAATACTAAAACCTAAACCATCCGATCCTTTTTCAATTACGATTTCTTTGGTTCTATACAAAATATAATAATTATAATACACACGCGCGCGTAATGATAATATATCAAAAAAATGTTGTTTGTTTCAAATCGATCCAAAAAATATTGTTGTTGTTGATAGAAAATCGATGCCAACGGCACATTAATGATGATGTTCATTTTTGTCGATGACGATGTTGTTCAAACAATTATCCACGATAACAGAGAGCGCCAAGAAAGAAAAATAACGAACGGATATTGATGATAATGGAAAACAAAATAGAAAATGATAGAAAATAATCAATAATTGTTTTGTTCAAAGAGAGAGAAAAAAATTTGTCATTTTAAAATTTTAAAAATAGAGAGCAAGCAAAAATGAACCATTAACATGCATTAAGCTAAATGATAAATTTAAAAAAATAAAAAATAAATTAAAATTGAAAAACAAATAGGAAATGAAACAAGAATATAAAAAATTTAACCAGCAAACAAAAAAAATGATAGAAAAAAAATTGAAATGGAAATCAAAGCCCATACCTGACGAAAGAATCCCTTTCGGCTAATTTCATTTTTTTTTTATCATAAGTGATGTTGACAATGAACAAAAATGGTAAGCAATGAAAATTTCGGTCACAGTAGAAAACATTGAGAAAGAAAAAACAGAATAGAATTGGTGTAGGGAAAAAAGAAGGAAATTGGAAAAAAACAGAATAGAATAGAAAGAAGAAAGAAAGAAGATATAATGAAATTGATGAAATTTGAACATCTTATGATGCTATATGCGTGTGTAACTTACTCATCGACAGATAATTCTTCATATTTTGAATTATTTAAATTCATTGATGATGTTGTTGATGATGGTTGTTGTTGTTGTTGTTGCGATGTAAGTGGCAATGGTGATGGTGGATGATTACATTTTAATCGTCCAATTTTTAAATTTATCACTCCTTTGGCCGTCTTTGTTTATGGGAAAAAAAATAATGAAATAAAAAAATGATTCAAATTAATTCCAAAAAAAAGAACTTACTTTGAGCATTAATGCAGCATCTTCAACATTGGTCAAATCATGTCCATTTACCTGTATAATTTGATCACCAATCATAAGATGACCATCAAGATCGGCAATACCACCTTCAACAATATCTTTAATATAAATACCATTACCATTACGTCGTACAACAATAGATAGACCAAGACCTTTTCCCGGTTTTTTTGTCAATTTTACATCAAAAATATCTAAATTTTCTTGATTAAAATCATCATCAATGTTATCACCATCATCATCATTTTTATCACGATAAATTTTCATCTTTATAATAGGTGGTGTTTGTCGCAACGCTTTTATTGCCTGTTCATGTGTTGCATGACGTAAATTTTCACCATTTACTTCAAGTATTTGATCACCCGGTTTAAGTCGGCCATCAATAAATGCTGCACCATTTGGATATACTTCATGTATTATCACAGTATTCTACAGTATGGTTTTTTATAGGATAAATAAATATTTAACAGAAAAAAAGAAGAAGAAATTAATTTCAATTAATGTTTATGGAAGATAATCATTTATCCATTCTTTGAATAAATGATAAACAAGCAAAAAAAAACAAAACACATCATATTTTTACACATACCAGAGGCGTATCAGATCCACCAACAATACTAAGGCCAAGTCCCATTTTTTCACGAATAATTTCAATAGTTGTTTCATCACCTAATCGTACGGGACAGGTTTTATAATCATTTGATTGTAATTCAATATTAATGCCAGCAGCTAATGATGATAATGATGTTGCTGTTGTTGTTGTTGCTCCGATTGTATTTACATTTGTTGATTGTGATTTTATAATTAATTTATCATTATTACTAATATTGGAATGTAAATGATGAAATTGTTGTTGTTGTTGTAACGAAAATGATGAAGAATTTTTACCCTTTGGCATTGATAACACTGTTGTTGTTGTTGTTGTTGGAATTGTTGTTGGAATTGTTGTTGATGATAATGATGATGAGGTAACAAGATTAGAATAACAAGATAATGAATCATTAATTTTATCATTTATAATCATCGATGTATTATCGATGGCAGATGTATGTTGTTGTTGTTGTTGTTGATGCATATTATTCAACATCATCAATGATTTTGGTTCAATAATAAAATTATTTGTTTGTTTATTATTAGTTGCTGTTGGTGTTGTTATATTGTGGTAAAGATTTTTACTATTTAATAAATCTAGATCATATGATAATGGCACAGATGGTGGTGGTTGTGGTTCGGATGGTTGTTGTTGTTGTTGTTGTAATGAAAATAATTGTGATTGTAATGGAAAAGGATAATGATGTGAAGAAGCAGAAGAAGTTGAAAAAGAAGGTGATGGTTGAGATTGATTTGGTGCATTCATTGTGATTGTGCAATTCATTATATTTGATGGTGTTGTTGTTGTTATTATTGTTGTTTGCATATTATTATTATCCAATAACGATACTGTCATATTTGCATTTGACATTATTATTAAATCATCATCATCATCATCATTATTATTATTATTATTAACATTCAATTTTGTTTCAATATCATTTTCAATCATTGAATTGTTATTATAATTTGTATGCTGTTGTTTTGGGAATAAATTATCATTGTCATGATGATGGTAAGATGTGGTTGTATTGGTGGTGCTAGTGGTGGTGGTGTTGGTATTGATTATTGTGCTTTTCAAATCAGATCTAAGTGCAGCTGCAGATGATGAAGATTTTATCAATTCTTCTTGATTCATAGACAATACTACAGAATAGATAATAATATCAAGCAAAAAAAACGAAAAAATTATCATCTTAACAAACAAACAAACATTGATATTAAACAAGATGTTAGAGAAAACAAATCAAAGATTTTTTAGTCTACTAAAATAAGTGTGAAAATAGTAAAGTGATAATGAGAAGTGTTAGATAATAATAATGATGTTTATGCAAATGACAAGACATGCAAATGTATTGTATTTTCTGTTTTTTATTCTTCATTTTCTTCAGATTTAGCTATTTCAGAAAAGCTAATTTGGAATCGAAAAAAAGAAATTCTGCCATTTTTTTCTGCCATTTGTTTTTTTATTCAAATTAAAATCTTTCATCATTTGAAAAAGTAATTAATCACCCACACACATTCAATTGTTTACCTTGAATTTTATTTGCATGTTGATGTTGATGATGATCACCAATCATTATCGATTCGGATGGATTCTGACGATGATGTTGTTGTTGTTGATCTGAAATATTTAAGCTAGTTGTTGTTGTTGTTGTTGTTTTCGTTGATGATTGTTGTTGTTGTTGTTGATATTCATATGGCATTAATTTTATCGGTTTAGCAATCACTAATGTCAATAAACCTTCGGCACATTTTAAAGCATTAGCAGCCTATTTTTATCAACAACAACGAAAGAAAACAAGAGAAAATTATTATTTATTCCATTAGAATATTGAAAAAATTCTTTAATCATCATCATTAATCATTATTTACCGTTTCATAATCGGCACCAATTAGATCAATATGATTTACACATAATATCATATCACCAACTGAAAGTCCAGCATTTTCAGCTGGACTACCATCTTGTATATCGGATACAAATACACCACGACCAACATCTGGCCTTTTTCCCTCGATAATCATTATACCTAAACCTTGTGTTGCCTAAATAAATTTTCCAAAAAAATGGATACAATGTTTCCAAAATAAATGAAAATAAATTGTTTTTGCTTAAGAAGAAGGAAAACATTAATAGAAAAAAAACAAAACATACCTTACGAACGGTAATCGTACGAACACCTTTAAATTTACAATATTTTTCTTCAAGAAAATCATTTAAATGTACGGGAAATTGTGTCAATGGTTTGACAGCCATTTCATCCAAGGCACCATCTCTTCTATTTATTTTTTTTTTGTTTAACGATAACGATGAAAAAAAATCCGAAAAAGTATATTTTTTTTAAAGACATTCCACCATTGACAAATAATGTTTTGTTGTTTGTTTGTTTTGTTTGACTTACCTTAATGCAATAATTCTATATGTTGGACAGGCTAAACTTTTAATAATAGCTGATGCATTTAAATGGCTACGTCCATATAATACAATTCCGTTTACCTAATAATAACGAAAAACAACAACAGCAGAAAAAAAACAGACAACCAAGGACAAAATTCAGAAATTAATGATCAAAAAAAGAAAGCAAAAAAAATCCAATCTAATCAACAGAGAAAACAAAAATAAGCCACATCGACATTTGCAAAGAACAAATGTAAAAAAAATAATAATAAATCTCAACTAACAATCGGTATTCTTTTTTTGTTTTGTTGTTCTTAATCAAGTTAATGTTATTTTTCCTTTTCTATTTCCCTTTTGCTTTTGTTCAGTCTCATTATTTGATATTGTTTGTGGGATTACAGAATCTATGAAATTGGCTAGCAGAAAAATTTTCCCAATTTGTCAAATGTGAAAAAAACAGAAATAGAATCAAACACACACAATCAACACAATTTATTGTTTGAAAAATGTTGTTGTTTTTTTGTTGAAAACAATAATTTTTCTTCTTCTAATCTCAAAAACAATAAAACTAATTAATCAAATTGAAATTCTGAATCTCCGATAATATCCGGTCAAATTTGATTATCGAACATGTAAAAAAAAACATACCTCAAGTATTTCATCACCAATACAAAGACGACCATCTTTATATGCACTACCTTTTGGATGCATACCGCAAATAAAAACACTCATTTTTGTACGATCACGATTACCAGCCAGGCTAATACCAAGACCAGCCATTCCTTTATGTAGATCGACCAATATAGTTTTACCATCAATATCGGAATATTTTTTACGAATTTTTTCTAAACCAAATCAGAATAATAATAATAGGAAAAAAAAGAACAATATTAATCAATGAAAAATTTCCCGGAAAAATTCACAGAATGATGAAAATGAAATATGTCAAAAACAAACATTCAGTTATAAAAATAGGTATTGTGGCGACTGAAAGAAATAATAATAATTTCAAACAAACAAAAAAAACGAAATTTGACAGCCGGAAAAAAAATTGGGTGAACAAAAAAAATGAAATCAAATTAAAATTTCGATCAATATCGATTGTGTCTTCCGTCACTCTCTCTCATTTTTTTCGAAAACAAACATTCGAATTCGAATTCGAATGTTCGATCGATTGGAAAGAACAGACAAAAAAAGATACACATAGAAAAAAAACCAAAAGAATTCAATAAGGGTAATGTCTTTATTAAATTCAATTGAATGAGAATAAAAATGTTTACTTTCATCATCGCCATCATCATCATCATCATCATTGTCATCATTATCAACAACATCGACATTGAAATTATCATTGGTGTCATCATTATCACAATCACCAATATCATCATCATCATCATCGTCGTCGTCGTCGTCGTCGTCATCTTCATCATCAATAGAATTTTTTCGATTATTACAACGAATTATAGATATTTTTTGTTGTCGATTTGATTGTTGTTGTTGTTGTTGTTGATTGTGATTATTGTTGTTGTCATCATCATCATTATTATCATTATCATCAATATTATTCGATGGAATGAATTGAATATTTGTTGTTGATGTTGTTATTGTTGATGATGATGTTGTTGTTGTTATAATCGATGAGGATTGTTGTTGTTGTTGTTGTTGTTGTAATCTTTGATTATTATTATTATTTTGATGATGATGATTATGATCAACATCAATCTTTGTCATCATCATCGATGGTGATGATAATGATGACATTGATGACATTGCAATCATTAAAAAATTCTGATATTATTATTTAAATCCAAATCGATTATTGTTGATCGATATCATCAATAGATAATAATAATAATAATGATAGGCAGTGTTGGTCAATCGTTGTTGTTTTTGTTGAAAATTTATTAATCGATCAATCATTTTATTTATTATATGTTGATGTTTATTTTGTATATAATAATCAGATCATACACTTTATTATAAAAATTGATTATAAATTGACTAACTACTGCTCTCTATAAATAAATGATAATGAACCAAATGATCAATAACAACAACAACAACAGCTGAAGAACATTCGCAAATATCAAGAGAATTTTGAAAACTTTAAATGAAACAACAACAACAACAACAAAATTAATTAGTTGATCGACGTAACAATTTATTTCTCATTATTTCGTCGTTTTTGTTTGTTGTTGTTACAATGTGTTCGATGAAGGTTTTTTTCAATCATTAAAAAAATTTCCAAAATCACATATTTTTTCTGTTTATTCGCTAAAAGATTTTGCGAGTGATTTCACTTTTTAGATTTTTTCGTTTCTTGAACACATCACCGAATTTGTTTGATGAAAAAAACTGTAAATCGGCACTTGATATAGCGAATATTTTCAAAGGCTATTATAATATTGATCATTTAAAAATGATTTTAAAAAAAATTGAAAATGAAAAACGAAATCGACAACGTCGTATGATGAATTTGAAGAAAAAAAATAATCAAAACCAAAATCAGTTTGTACAAAACTGACGGATGTTTCAACGTTGTTGTTGTTGTTGATGATGGCGATGATAATGATGTTCAATTTCAACACACACACACAATTTCAAAATTCAAAAAGAACAGAATTTTTTCTTCTTGTTAACAACAACAAAAAAAAAATGATTTCAACTTTGTTTATTTGTTTTATTTCAACAACAACAACAACAACAACCAGAAAATTGATTCGCCAAAAAAAAACGAACGAAGAAGAAACAAAAAAAAAATTCGAGCATCGAACCGAATTAAACGATGCATTGGATTCGAATGAATGAAAAAAAATTATTTTTTTTTTCGTCCTATTCCAATTCATTTGTTTTGTTTTTTTTCTCTCTCACTCTCTCTTTAGTTGCCTATTTTGTTATTATATACACAGAATATTCTCTCTGAACAAGATAGAATAGGGATTGAAAAAAATTCATACTGAGAATGTGCACAAAAAAAACATTTCAAACATTACGCAAACATATAAAGGCCTATTCATATTGTTGTTGTTATTATTATTTTTCATGGATCAAACGATCATGATGATGATGATGATGATGATGTTGAATAAAAAAAACTTGATAGAATTCCGATTGTTGTTGTTATTATTATTGTAGCTATAGCATATACAGAATTATAGAATCTCCGAAATAAACCGACAACAACAACAACAACAACAACATAGAACTTTGGAACTCTTGGAAAATGTATCGGTATCTTTTATACGGGCGTGTGTGTGTTGTGTTTGTATATTCCGTTCGCCTAAGATCGTTAAAGAGTGAAAAAAAAAGTTTAGATTTATTTTACTGTATTGGATATACCCATAGAATTGATGATGATTTTCGTGTGTGTGCTCACAAAAGAAAGAAAGAATTATATCGAGTTTGAGCAAAAAAAAAAAGATAGAAAAGAAAATCATTTTCGATTATATATTGTTGTCTCTTTTGGGTTAGTTGGTTTAGCACATGTGCAAGAATATTCTCTCTCTCTCTCTCTCTCTCTCTCTTGCTTCAAGATTCTGTTATATTTGTTGCTTTTTTTCAATAATAATAATAATAACAACGACGATGATAACGATGAAACAAATAAACGAAAATTTACAGTAGCAGCAGCAGCAGCAGCAGTCTAATATATCATCTCTAGATGATCCAACAGAATATTTATTTCGTTTTTTTTCTTCATAAAATACCCAAATAAAAAAACTATAAATTTTTTTCCTTTTTCTATAACCCAAAAGAAACTGGAAAAAAAGGTCAGAAAGATAGAGAGAGAGATAGAGAAAAAGTGTATTTTTTTTTTTTCTGGATGATACATCATCATTATCATTGCTTAAACTCAACAATTTATCTTGTTGTAAATGATGATAATAGAACCAAAAACAAATAATTAATTCTTCATTCAATAACAATGACAACAACAACAACAACAACAACGATGATGATGATGATGACAGCTAAATGAAGAACGAAAAAAATTGGCAATAAATTTTTTTTTTGGAAAGAAATTCATTTTTCAAACAAACGAACAAAATGAATGAATGAATGAAAATTGTCTATTTTCATAATAATGAAAAAAATTCATTCATTTTTCTATTGGAATGATTAAAAATTCCATTACAAATGGGAAAAAAAATTCTGAAACAAAAGGCTCCCAAAAATTGCATATATACCCAAGAAAGAATAATAATATGATTTTTGTTTTTGTTTTTTCAAATATTCTTCTTCAGTACATTTCATTTATTTAAATTCATTCATTCATTCATCATAAACAATGAAAATGTATTTAAAAATGTTTTTTTTTGTCAACAACAATAATAATAATGTTGTTGAAATGTTCATTTGCTTATGTTATTTTCCCTTTTTTTCAATCACATTTGTCACATTGCTAAATGAAACATCAAATTCTTTTTTCTTGTTCTGGATCATGGAGCATCTTGAAAAAAGATGTACAAGAATAAAAATTTTAGAAAACGAAAAGATTCAATTCCTCTTTTCATCAATTTCATCATATACACCAACCTTGGTATATGTTATGTAATGATTAAATAAATAAAAACATCAATTTTTTTACACAATGATGATTGGCGTGAAATACCAATGGCACTTGTGTACTGTAATTTTTTTCCCAATTCGTATTTTTTTCCCATCCATCACATACCCCTTTTTCTTCATCACATATTTCGAAAGAATTTTTCAAATGTTTTTTTTTGGTTCTGTTTTGTTTCGTTTGTCTCGTTCAATTTTTATTTTTTATTTTTGGCTGCTGAAATGAATGAGAGTTTGTCATCACCAAATAACAACAACAACCAAAAATAACAATTGACAAAGTTGGCCTTGTTTTTGGTTCATTTAATTTAAAAAAAAAATGTTTGAGAAACGGAAAAAGAGAATGATAGAAATGACAACAACAACAAAACGAATTGAATAAAGTTTTGTTTTGTTTTGTTTCATTTTTTTGTCATTTGTTGTTGTTGTTAATAATGAATGAAAATGAAAAATTTATTGATGAAAATAGAAAAAACAAACAAACAAACAAAAAAAGATTCGATCATTACCTAATTATTGATCAGGAAATTTTCCTTTGAATCGAGGTTTATCGATTTTTTTCCCCATTAAAAAACTATGTTTGAAGAAACAAACAAACAAAAAACTTTTATGGGTTCATTTCTTTCCATTTTCAATGATCTCCTCAGATTCGATTGGTAATTGATTTATTATTGATCAAAAAATAGAAATTAATATAAAATTTTATCGTAATCGAATTGAATAACAACAAGCCATACAAGCGTGAAAACAAAAAAAGAAATCCAAAATCAAATCAAAATAACAAGCAATGTTTTTTTTTTAATTTTAAAAAATTTTCATAAACGATTCTTCCATTGAAAAAAATGAAATTCCGACTCTATCGACACACATGTGATCACTTCCGATTTTTTTTTTCTTTTAAAACAACATTAACATTTATATGATTGGATCAAAATAGTCGATCCATCATCATCATCATGATGATGGATCGAAATGGTTTTTTTTTCTTTTATTCAATAATACTCTTTAATGAGGATTTGATAAACGAAACAACCAGGAAAAAAATGAAGAGCAAATTTTTTGATTAGATATATTTATTTATTTTCTTTTGCCCTTGTCATTATCATTATCATCATCATACATTTTGTGTGTGTGTTTGCTTGATTGTAAATCGTCGTAATAAATAAAATTAAAGATAGATGAACGAATATACTTTGGCTATGAATTCTTAGGGTTTTATTTATTTATTTATATATGAAAAACATAGAATATGACAGTGAAATTTATCATTGATGATTGCCAC